CTTCCTTCCTTCCTTCCTTCCTTCCTTCCTTCCTTCCTTCCTTCCTTTTGAAGCAGGTTAAATAGCTTTGGAAGCTGAAGAGTACAAAATGTGCAGCAATCAAACAAGCGTCGAAAGTGCTTAGGTTCTTCACACTCTATAAAGTAACTTGCTACCAAGATGTCGGTACACACGTTGCATAATAGACACAACAGTGGCAGCCTGGAAGTTTCTTCTTCCCAGAAGGCTTCATCGTCGAGTGGCCTCACCCACAGCAGACAACTTAAACAGCCCTTGAAGTCAAATACGTCAGAGTGTGAAAGTCATGACCCATCACTGAGTGCAGGAGACAAAGCCAGAGACATAAATAGCACTTATGTTATCTCTGCCTGTAAAAAAGCAAAAGAGATCCCCGTTACCCCAGACCCCAATAGACTGACCCTTCAGAGAAGGGCTACTTGGAACAAAGAATCATCTTTACTTGGTAATGAGTTGGGAAACATTGCTAGAAAAACAGCAGAGGCAAGTCTTAGGTTACAACGTTGTCACACTAAAACGGATCTTGTGGAAAAGCGGGAAACGTCGAATACTGTGGGAGTTAGCGCAGAAAATAACTGTGAGTCACAGGAAACGAGGGCAGAGGCAAAGCCTGTAAACCCTGCAGTTTCTGTGAAAGACTCAGGTGACGCTGGAGTAATGGTTTCCGCCTTCACCACCTCAAGTGAAAACAGGACAGTTAAGAACCCAAGCAGTAGAGCACTTGTTGGTTCCCAGTGTCAGGCTGAAGCTGTGAGGTCAGAACTCTTAGCGGTGAAACCGATGGAGAGCAAGCTGGACATCAAAGTGTCAGGAGCAGGAACCTCACACCACGGAAATGCTGGGAAGGACGTTACAAAAAATGTCAATAAGTTTGGAAGCTTAGAAACAAAGACCCCCGTGAAATGTGTTCCAGAACACAGATGGACACCAAGGCATGAGCTGCCTCCACCCAAAAGCCCAGCTATATCAACACTGAAAACCAGGATAGCAAGCCCTCAGAGCAAACCACGGCCAAAAAGTTCTCTTCTGGCAAATAAAAGGGAAAGATCACAAGAAAGTACACTTCCTCCAGAAGACAAAACCACAGTTCAGAATACCTTTGCAGAAACAGACTCCTTAAAAGTAGAAAACAGTCAAGTGACCGTGGCTGTCCGCGTAAGGCCTTTTAGCAAAAGGTATGTTCAGCGCGTTAGCTCTCGGGCCGAGGCAATTCCATGTCATGATGTGTCTGTAAGTCTTCTCTGGTTTTAGAAAGCCAGTGTAGTATTCATGTGTCTTTAGAGTTGCTGGCATTTTCCAACGGTGCTGGGAATTGAGCCCAAGGCCTCATTACACTATTACATGCTGCGCCATTGAGCCACATCTCCGGCCCATCAGTGTTTAGGCTTAATTGTAGTATACTGATGATTTTTGTGATAGACCACATAATTTTTGAAACGGAGCCAGTCATGATTGTGCACACCTTTTAATCCCAGCATTTGGAAGGTGGAAGCAGATTGATCTTTGAATCTGAAGCCAGCCTGGTGTATGTAGCAAATTTCAGGCCAACCTACAGAGTGAGGCCTGGACCTAAAGTGGGCAGGGGACTAGGGGAGGTTGCCGCCGACTGACTCATTGAATTCTCTGATGCAATCTCCTTTCAAATTCATGATTTGTGGTTGTTGGGAATGTCTACTTTTCCTTTAATAAGATTCACACACGCTCACAGCTTCCCTGTATCTTCCTAAAATAATGCTCCAGAATGGTGGATGTCAACAGCATCATCTGCATTTGGCGCATAGTGGTGAGAAATGCAGAGCCACATCAATCTTCATTTTGATGGCGTAGGATTTTTCTCTAAAGGTGATTGTGGTTGGGATAGTCACAGATTATTGAGAAGATTTTAAAAAGTCAGCTGAGTGTAGTGGCCATGCCCTTAATCCCAGCACTCACAGGTGAATTTCTGAGTTCCAGGCCAGCCTGGTCTACAGAGTGAGTTCCCGGACAGCTAGGGCTACACAGAGAAACCCTGTCTTGAAAAGGAAAACAATAAAAATGTCACAGGATCTGTAGTTGTTAGTGTGATGTGTATCTAAGTGACCTAGAAATGGATATGGTGACCACTATTTCCATGAGGGAAGGTATAGTTTTGAACTGAAACTCAATAGTTAGAAGTTTAATAAGATCTATAAAGGTCTTTTTTTTTTTTTTTTTTTTTTTTAGCAGAAATGGGGTGATGATAAAAAGAGAGGAATGCTGATGAGTTGATCTGAGAAAGTTAAGCTAACAAAAGCTTCAGAACAATTAAAGGAAGGGAGAAGCAAAGCCCATGATGGATGACTACACCTGAAGGATCCTGGGTAGTAAAAGCACAAAGTGGGTGCCTCCAAACTCATGAGAGAAGCTCTGAAAGCAGGGGTGGGGCAGAGTGGCTCTCAGCAGATCAGAGAGACCGATGGTTTGGAGGATAAGTTAGATTGTAAAGCAAGAGCCTCAGGGAAAGGAGTGCGACAGGGCGGGAGGCTGACATTAGGGCCAGTGAGAGTTTTTTTACTGAGTAAGGGAGGGTTTTCTAAGTGGGCTAGAAGGATGGAAATGAAGACTGGAGGTCTTAAATGCGGGAATCTCATGCAAGGAATGACCATTGCATTAACAGTGACAGAAGACATGTCAGATTTAAATTTGTATTACTCCAGGTTCATTAAAATTGTATTCAATATTTTATGCCAGCATTATATATTTTGTTTTGTTTTTCAAGATGGTTTCTTTCTGTAGTCCTAGCTGTCCTGCGACTCACTCTGTAGACCAGACTGGCCCTGAACTCAGAGAGATATGCCTGCCTCTGCCTCCCAAGTGCTGAGATTGAAGGCTGGCCTCCACTGCCCAGCATGTTATATAGATTTTTATTCCCATATTTTTAATATAAAAAGACATTGCATGATTTGAATTGAAACATATGCATAGGATGGGAACTTTTTAAAATTTCCCATAGAAAATTTAAAATGTGGTTTTCTGGAAAAGAAATTTGAAATTGTTTTCCTTTGAAGTGACAGAAAATACATTTTGGAGACCTTGGGTTCCTAATTTTCTACATGATACTAAAGAATCGTCTTGCCCTGAAGGAATGGTGACCTTAAGCTTGGTGAGGCCTTTCTGTATTCTGTGGAGATGGTATTCATAACAAGGAGAGGAACCTGACTTTTCCCCGCACTCTTCTTTTCAAAGAGAGAAGATTGAGAAAGCATGCCAAGTTGTCTTCACCAACGGTGAGGAAATAACCGTGGAACATCCCGAGATGAAGCAAGTTTACAGTTTTATTTACGACGTTTCGTTTTGGTCTTTTGATGAATGTCACCCTGACTATGCTAGCCAGACAACTGTGTATGAGACGTTGGCAGCGCCGCTTCTAGAAAGAGCTTTTGAAGGCTATAACACCTGTCTCTTTGCCTATGGTCAGACTGGCTCTGGAAAGTCCTATACGTAAGTGATATTGATCATATGACTAACCAGAAGTGTTTATATTTTCTTCTTTTGTCAGAAGCATCATGGCTGTAGAAAGAATACAGGATTTTAAAATTATCATTATTATTATTTTAGTTTAGTGTGTGTGTGCATACAGTGTTTGTGCATGGCTGCATGGGCCATGGCATATTTGTGGAGGTCAGAGGACAGCTTTATGGAGTTGGTTCTTTTCTTCTTAGGGAATTGACCTCAGGTCACCAAGCTTGCCTGCCATGTGCCTTTACCTGCTGAGCCATCTTGTCTTCCCAAGCTTATAGTTTTGACAACATAGAGATCTGGGCTGTCTCATCCGTTATTCTAGACTTAGGCACACACTTGAATCTCTAGTTTACACATGAGGTAATTTACTTTGTAAATAATTGTCTCTGTTTTGCTGTAACTTATTTTTTATTTAATTTTATTCTTTATGTATATGGGTGTTTTGCCTGTGTGTATGTCTACCATATGCATACTGGATGCTTGAGGCAGCCAGAAGAGGGTGTCAGATTCCCTAGAGCTAGAACTACAGATGGTTGTTGGCCACTGTGTGGGTGGTTCTGGGAATTAAATCCAGGTCTTCTGGGAGTTAAGAGCCAGTGCTCTTAACCACTGAGCCATCTCTCCAGGTTTTACTTATGTTTCTTCTGTAAACTGAAGTCCAAATAGGATAGTGTGCATGTGTGTGTGTGTCTGTGTGTGTGTATTAAGAGAAATGATTGTAAGGTATCTCAGTCTCATGCTTTGCAAGTCAAAAACTTCAGTCTTTCTTGTATTAATCTATTTGAGCAACTGTGAAGTTACTGGAGAAATACCTAAATACCTGACTAGAGATTTTGGCCATACATAAGTTTCCTTTTACTTTATTGAAGTAGGGTTTTATTAAAGATAGTTTAATATGGACTTTAAGCAGGAGGGTTAGAAGAAAGATGCTCAGAAGGAAGGACAAGACATATCAGGAGTATAGGTGCAGGCCTAAGACATAACTCAGTAGGATAACTATGGTGATTGTGGCTGATGAAAATAAGTTGATTACTTCAAAATAGCTCAGAAATTTTGGATATTTTTAGTATACTAAATTGATAAATACTGAAGTTATATGTCTACCAATTATTCTGCCCTGTCCATTCTGCATTGTATTGTATCTAGGTATTAAAACATTACTCTTTGAACTCAAAATCTTCCTTCTTGTCCATAATGTATTTCTAGGATGATGGGACTTAATGAAGAACCTGGAATAATTCCAAGATTCTGTGAAGATCTTTTTGCTCAAGTAGCCAAAAAGCAAACCCCAGAGGTATGCTCAAACTCAAATCACAATCCTGACTGCCACGACCAATTGCAAGGTCTAAAAGATGACGTTCTCATTTCCAGCTTGCCTTCCTTTGCTGGAGTGTGGAGAGGAAGGGGGCAGGACGTTCCAAATGCAGAAGCAGGTCTTCCCAGTGGGCAGTGGTAGGGTCCACCTTTTGCTGTTGTGCTTTGTTTTGTAGCCCAGGCTGGCCTTGAATTCTCAGTTCTCCTGCCCCAGCCTCCTGAATGCTGGGACTCTAGGTGTGCACCACCAAGCCTGGCTCCTTTCTTTGCTTCTCTCCTTTTGTGCTGTGTAGTGGCTTTCAAGAAGGTGGTTATATACCTGTCTGTGTACCTCTACAGTCAAGTAGGTGCACAGACTTAGCCTAACACAGCAGGCAGCTCTTGCCCAGCTAGAAACAGAAAGGGCAGTGAAGCCAGGGTAGCAACCAGGACTCGGCTTTAAAAGCCATGCCTTTCTGGCTGCAACCAGGACTCGGCTTTAAACACCAGGCCTTTCTGGCCACAACCAGGACTCAGCTTTAAATGCCTTTCTGGCCGCAACCAGGACTCGGCTTTAAAAGCCATACCTTTCTGGCTGCAACCGGGTCTCGGCTTTGAAAGACTTTCTGGCCATGCTGCAGCTGCATAGTCTGCTGGCTTCTTGTGTCACTTGTTCATTCGACCTTCAGGAGCTGTCTGCTGAGCACCGTTGCTTGACAATCTATTGGACTAGGTTTTTGTCAAAGTCATTGATCTTGAGGCTCATCAGGGCTCTCATAGGGGCAGGCATATGTGGCTTACGAAATCTCTTCTGGAGATTCCAGGTCATTTGCTCTAGAGCACAGCCTGAGAGTTAGTTTCTGTACTTCTATAAGGGAAATTATTATCCTAGATTTGGGGCCAGGGGTCTCTATAGTCAGGAGAGAGAAACAGGGGAGATAGACTGGTAAACAGCCAAGTGTAATCAATTACATGCTAAACATATTCAAGCAAATACCATGCTGTTACATTGCATTTGTACTCTTTCTGTTATAACACAATAGCAAAGGAAAATTTATAAGAAGAAAGTTTCTCACAGTAATAGAATAGAATCTGAAAACCCAATATCAAGATGATCTGGTGGTATGAAGCTTCTGACATCACAACACGGCAGAGGGCGTATAGGCTGAGGTCATAGAAAGCTACCAATCTTGTCATAGGTCGTACCCTGAGGATCTTACTAATTGTCTCCTAAAGGTCTTCCCTCCAAAGAACGTGAACATGAGAATTTGGGTATTTGGTTTCTTACAGAGTATGAACCTTCGGGGGATACATTCAAAAGCATAGCAAACAAGAAAGTGAGTCAATTGGAGACAGGTTTTCTTAGAAGTAACAACTGTACTTGCTTTTTTTTTTTTTTTTAAAAAGATTTATTTATTTATTATGTATACAGTGTTCTGCCTGCATGTATGGCACCAGAAGAGGGCACCACATCTCACTATAGATGGTTATGAGCTACCATGTGGTTGCTGGGAATTTAACTCAGGGCCTTTGGAAGAGCAGCCAGTGCTCTTAACCTCTGGGCCATCTCTCCAGCCCACTGTGCTTGCTTTTAAGAACATATATTAGTTATTTGAGAAAGGAAAGTGGGAGAGACATTCCAGGCAGAGGGGACAGCTGCCACAAAGATGAAAGTAAGAAAGTAGGGAGCAAAGTAAATTGTTTACTTTGGTGTGAGTGGAATTTGAAGGTGGAAGGTGGCAAGAGATGAACTAGAGGGGCAGGCAGAAGTTGGTTCTTAGAGGACTGTGTAAAGCAAGCTTGCAGATATCTTCAGGCCCCGGGAGGATTTTAAACAGGGAAATCGCATATTCCTATTCATTCTTTTTTAAAAAAATCTTTTCACTTGTGTTCTTTTCATATGTATGGGGTGCATACAGTGTATGTATATTTATATGTGTTAGGACACATCTGTGAGGGTGCATATGCACGTGTGTCTGTGTGTGAAGGCCCAAAGTTGGAGCTGGGGATCTTTCTTCCACATTATCCTTTGATTCAGGATCTCTTAATCAAACCCAGAGCCTGCTGATACAGCTATTCTTGCTAGCTCTTTTGTTCCAGGGATGCCCCTGTCTCAACTTTCTAAAACTGCAATAATGGACTACCATGCCCACCCAGCATTTCTGATCCTCTTGCTTGTATAGCAAACACTTTAAATGCTGAGCTAGCTCTTAATTTAATTAATTGTTTGAGACAGAGTCTCATTGTGGAACCTTAGCTGGCCTGGAACTTGCTATGTAGACAAGACCGGCCTTGAACTCAGAGATCCTTCTGTCTTTGCCTTCCTAGTGCTGGGATCAAAGGAGTATATCATCACTTCTGGCAATTTCATATGTTAATCAGCAATAAAAAGTAACTATGTGTTTGTTGATCCCTCACGCTTGTGTCACAGCATTTGTAAATGAACTTTTGATCGCATGCATGGTATTCTCACATACCTGGTCTGTGTCTGGATGTGCTTTGCTCCTATCCTGTGATACCACGTGTATTCTGCTTCTTGACACTCATGTGCCGTATTGCATCTTTATTCTGAAAGAACTCATATCTAATTAGAGACACAGTACAGCACCCGGCCCCATCTTCAGTCGGTCTCGTGCAGGTAACCACAGCTGCAGTGAACTCAGTGACTGTCAAATTTAGCAGACAACTTTTTTTTTTTTTTTTTTGCTGCACTTTTCCGTCCTCTGGATCTTACATTCTTCCTGTGTTCTTCCTTGCACCATGCTCCATATATTCCCTGAGCCTGGAAGGGATGGTGATGTAGCTGTCCCGCTCAGGGCCAAGCACTTCGTTTACTCTTAGCGCTTTGGTTAGTTACGCGTTTGTGTATTAGTTGCTGTCCACTGCAGTAAGAAGTTGCTTTGGTGAAGTCTGGGCGCAGCACTATCTGTGGGTGTAAACATGGGTGTGTAGCAGGTAGTTTAACGACATGACTATTTAGGAAAGCAGCAGTAGGAGGCTCACCACTAGTGCCTATGCCCTCCCCAAGCAGAGGCCCTGGACGCTGGCCCCAAACCCAATCAGAAAGCGGTTGATTACCTCCATGCAAGTCAGGCCACGATTGTACTAGAGGGTACAGGTTGTTTGGCAGGTCGTTATCGTAGCTGAGGAGGACTGGATGAATTTTCTTTACTAGCACTCTATAGAACAACTTCCGGCACTGTGAAAGCCAGCTAGTAGGGGGAAGCTTCCAAACCGGTTCTAGCTTGATTCCTCTCCGTGGCTGTGTGGTGCCCTCAGCAACGCAATTTCACCATCTAGTTTGGGTGGGCAATTAAGAGCAATGGCAAATTGCCTGTATGGGTTTTTTTCTGAGGGTGGGGTGGGGGGGGTGCTTTCAATGTTTTCCCATCCAGGAACTTGTAGGGAGGTATCTCACACCTGGCACCAAGACTTTAGTTTAATAACCCATTGCTTCTGGGAGAAACATTATTCGTCAGTGGAATATATCCTCCATGAACTCTTTTTTTTTTTTTAATTATAATTTTAATAAGGTCATAAAAGAGTGACTTTCTATATGGCTCTTTCATATATTCTTAGTTTACCTCTCCCCCCTCTCCTCCATTTTCCTATCCCCTTATACCCCTCCTTGCTTAGACCTGTTCATGTTCATAACTCTTTTATCTAGCCCCCATTTTTCATGTCTGGTATTCTACTGTCCTTCCTCTTTTAATGGGTTACCTCATTCATTATAAATATTCCAGATCATCCATTTTCCTACATATTTCATATTTTATTTTTACTGCTAAATTAAATTTCACTGTGTATTTGTACCACATTTTCATTATCCATTCATACATTGATGGACATCTAGGCTGGTTCTGTTTCCTTGTCTTGTAAGTAGAGCCACAGTGAACACAGAAGTACAACTGTGTTGTTGAGTACAGGGTCTTTGGGCACATGCCCAAGAGTGGTACAGCTTGGTCTTGTGGCAATTCCATTCTTAGCTTTTCCTTCTTTCTTCCTTCCTTCCTTCCTTCCTTCCTTCCTTCCTTCCTTCCTTCCTTTTTGATTCTTTCCTTCCTTCCTCCTCCTCTTTCTTTTTTTCTTTCCCCTTTCCCCCTTTTTTGAGACAGGCTCTCACTATGTAGCCTTTTGTTATCCTGAATCTTTCTCTTTAGACCTGTCTACCTCAAAGTCACAGAGATCCGCTTGCCTCTGCCTCCTTAGTGTTGTGATTAAAAGCATGTGCCACCATACCCGGCTGCATTTTTAGCTTTTTAAGAAACCTCTACACTGATTTCCATAGTGGCTGCACCAGTCCACACACCCAGCAACAGTTAGGGGTCCTGTTTCTTCACATCCTTGCCAGCATTTATTGTTTGTTTTCTTTTGTTGTTGTTTTGTTTTTGTTTTTTGTTTGCTTGTTTTTCAAACGGAGAGGAATCAAGCTAGAACCGATTTGGAAGCTTCCCCCTACTAGCTGGCTTTCACAGTGCCGGAAGGTGTTCTATAGAGTGCTAGTAAAGAAAATTCATCCAGTCCTCCTCAGCTATGATAATGACCTGCCAAACAACCTGTACCCTCTAGTACAATCGTGGCCTGACTTGCATGGAGGTAATCAACCGCTTTTCTCTGTGTAGCCTTGGCTATCTTGGAACTCACTCTAGATCAGGCTGGCCTTGAACTCAGAGATCCACCTGTCTCTACCTCCCCTTTCCTCTTTCTTTGTGCTGCTCTCTTTTTAGTGACCTCTTTTTCCTCCTTGTTCTCATAAGAGTTGGGCATATCCTATTCTGTCAAATCTTTCTCTGATTCATCACATTGTCTGTCTCCCAATTAGACATCACTTTCAAATATGGCTGCTTCCTTCTACCAACTAACTTTACCTTCATTGTTTGGGATTAAAGATGTGTGCTAAAGATGTGTCTATATTCCAGCCTGAGTGGCCATGTTGCTGGATTACAATTTCTCCATGTAGCCATTCTAACTGGAGTAAGATAAAGTCTCACAGTAATTTTTTTTCCTTGATGGCTAATGGCATTGAACTCTTAAGACAAAGAGCATTTTGTTTTTTCTCTTGAAAACTGTCCTGTCCCATAGTCTTTTTTCTCTTTAAATCAGGTTGCTCACTTTCTTGGTTTGTTTTTTTTAAGCTCCATATATATTCTGTATGTAAATCCTTTATCAGATGTATAGCTGGCAAAGATTACCTTATATTTCTTTGGCAATTACTTTTCTATTGGAGAGTATCTTGATTCCTCTATATGGGCAAGGCCTTGTACTTCATTTCCTTTCCATCCTTAGCAACAAGCTAACGCCATACACATAGTAGGTAGCTACTTAAATTCTTAAGGGCCTAAATTGAACTTCATCTAGATGTTAACAAGAAGAAATGCGAAAACTTGTTTTATGGAGATAAAGTTCATAGAACATTAACCATTTTAAAATGTACTGTGTAGTGGTGAATTTTTAAAAATTATATTTCTTTGTTGTGGGGGTGGATGTGTCACAATGTGTTTGTGGGAGCCTGTTTCCTGTCCCACCATATGGGTCCCAAAGATCAGCCTCAGATCATCAGGCTAGGCGGCAAATACCTGTACTGCTGATCCACCTCCAGGCTCAAATTTTGTGTCTGTGTGTGTGTGCCGGGGGGGGGGGGGGGGGAGGTGAGGGGGGGTTCGAGACAGGGTTTCTCAGTGTTGCCCTGGCTGTCTTGGACTCTCTTTGTAGACCAGGCTGCCTGCCTCTGCCTCCCAAGTGGTGGGATTAAAGACATGCATCACCACCACCTGGCTGGCAGATTCTTAATACAGTCTCTGTATAGTTCAGAGAAATTTCCATTTCTTCCAAAGAAGACTTTGCACATGTTAAATTGTCGACATTCCATTATTACTTCCAAACTCAGGCAGTTACTAATCTGCTTATGTCTCTCTGAATTTGCCTGCTTTAAACATTTTTTTACCTCATATTTCCCATATTTTACCTCATGTGGGATCATATAATGTCTGTCTGGCTTCATTTTCTTAGTGTTATTTGTTGGAGGTAAATCTGTTATAGCAAGTATCAATCAGTACTTCCTTTTTTTTTGGTGGCTGAATAATAATACAAAAGGCTGTTTATACCTGTACGGTGTTACTGTGAACACTGGTATACAAATTTTCACTTGAATAGTCTGTGTTCTTTTGAGTGTGTAAGAGTAGAAATGTGAGCCTTGGGGTAAATGTGTGCTTAACCTCTGAGGAACATTTTCCACAGTAGCTTTGCCATTTATATCCCTACCAACAGTGGAAGAGGAGTCTAGTCTCTTTATATCCTCATCAAGGCTTGTTGTTTTCCTTTATTTAATTTTTAAAAAGTTTTATGTGTGTGAATGTTTGCTTATGTGTACTGGTGCTCTTAGAGGCTAGAAGAGGGTGTTGGATCCATGGTAACTGGGGTTACAGATGGTTGAGTGGTCATGTTGGTGCTGGAAACTGAATCCAGGATCTCTGCAAAAGCAGCAAATTCTCTTAACTGCTGAGCTATCATTCCAACCCAGTTTGTTGTTGTAGTGCTTCTTTGCCATTTTTATAGGGTTCTTAGACAAGTGTTCAAGTTCTTTGCCTGATTTTTAATTATATTTTTTATGTTGGTGATAAAATTTTTTTTGTATATTCTAGAGTTATATTCATATTAGGCACATGTTTTGCAAAAAATGCAAGTTTTTTTTCTTTGTCTTTTTTTGTCATTTATTTTATGACTGATTGAAATCCTCAAGATGAACTGGATGCTGCAACAGCTGCCCTCTTGGGGTTTAGGTGTCGTTCCTTCACGGAATCCATGCCTGAATCTGCGATAGACAATTTTTAGGTGCCTCATCCGACCAGTCCCGGTAGTGTTTCGCCTCTTAGCCTTGGCACCTCAGTTATACTTCCTCCTGCACTTGGCAGGGTAGCCACATTTACCACAAGTCGACTTCTGAAGGTGGTAGGCCTTAGAGCCACAGCCGCGGCACAACGTGTGCGTCTTATTGCGACCCTTCCAAAGGATGACATTCCCTTTGTCATCTTGCTTCTGCAAAAAGGCAATTTTAATGTAAACTGGATGCCTTTTGTTTCTATCCTTCTAGGTCAGCTACCATCTTGAAATGAGCTTCTTTGAAGTTTATAACGAGAAAATTCATGACCTTCTGGTTTGTAAAGGTGAAAATGGTCAGAGAAAACAACCAGTAAGAGTTAAATACTTTTGCTACATTTATTTATTTGGTTGGTTGGTTTATGTGGGAGGTGGCACATGTGTGTGCCGCTGCATGTGTGGCAAAGACTGGACAATCAGTTTTTCTACTTTTACCATGTGGATCCCAGGGACTGAACTTGGTGGCAAGTGTCCTTACCTGTTGAGCCATCTCTCCTCACCTTACATAATATTGTAAAATGTGTGTGTAGAGAGAGAGAGAGAGACAGGCAGGCAGGCAGGCAGGCAGAGTGTTTAGATGGATGTGTAGTGTGTGTGGGTAAGTGGAGACGAGGACAGTCTTACAGAGGGAGTTCATCTTCTCCTTCCGCTGTGGGTTCTGGTGACCAAACTCAGGTCCTCGGGCTTGGGAATAACCACTTTGCCTGCTGAGCCATCTTGCCTGCCTTAACTTATTTATCATTTGTTTTTATTTCCATTTATATAACTTCATATATTTTTGAGTTCTTTGGAGAGCATGACTTTAATTTTTATAAAAATAACCAATACGTTAGTAATAACTAGCACTTGGGAATCTCCAGTTTACATTGTTGTCTGGAAGTGTCTAAACATTATCACAAATGGAAATTAAATTAATTGAGATTTAACTTATTTTTAAATTTTAATCAAGTAGCCAGATGTGGTGGCACACGCCTCTAATCCCAGCACTCAAAGGCAGAGGCAGACAGATCTGTCAGTTCAAGGCTAGCTTAGGCTGCAGTGAGTTCCAGGACAGCCAGGATTACACTGAGAAACTCTGTCTCAAAAACAACAAATAAATAAATAAATAGAAATTTAGCTGGGCATAGTGGTGCACACCTTTGATCCCAGCACTTGGGGGAGGCAGAGGCAAGCAGATCTTTCTGCCAGCCTGCTTTATAAATAAACAAATAAATAAAATTTAATCAAATATTGTCTAAAAGTTAAAAATAAAATATTTGTCCCAGGATTTCGTAAGGCTGTGTGAGTTAAATATGAAATGTATAACAGTCTAGAAGCCAAAAAAGATCTAAAAGTTTTTAAAAATTGTATTCTTGTAGAATACACCTTTAAGTGGATTGTTTGACTTTTTAAAGTGGCAGGTTTGGGGAGCGCATGTGATAGTATCTGCTTGCAGACCAGCAGCCAGCCTCAAATGTTTTCCTCAGAATATTATGGTCTACCCTTTGGTGTCTCATTGGCCTAGCACTCACCGGTTGGGCTGGAGTGGCTTGGCCAGTGAGCCTCCTGTCTGTTCTTCCCAGTCCAGTATTATGAGCGTATGTGCCACCATACCAGACATTTTCATGCATGCCCTAGGGACTGAGCGGGTCCTCCTGCTTGTGAGGTAAACTCTTTACTGAGTCATTGCTCCAGCCTCTATTCATTTGATGTTCATTAGATCATCTGTGAAATAGATTTCAGTTTAAAAAAAAAAAAAAGCAGCAGTTAGAATTGAAGTTTTAATTTTATGAAGTACTTCTCAACACAAATGAAAATCCAGGGAAGTAGTGGGGAAAGACTGGGAGAAGAGGAGAAAGGAGAAACTGCAGGCAGGATGTAAAGTAAATTAATTAATTAATATAAAAAACAAAAAAACCCCTCGAAAATCTAAAATCACTGTCTGTGTCCAATGTTACAAAGTTTTTCATAGGTAACCTTGAAGAACTTAAAATGGCATTTTCCTCAATGATTTCTATGCATTTTAAAATTATTACAAGTGAAATTTTTGTTTTAGGTTTTTCAAGATAGGGTTTCTTTATATAGTCCTGGTTGTCCTAAAACTAGCTCTATAGACCAGGCTGGCCTCAAACTCATAGATAGCCAAGAACCTCTGCCTCCTGAGGTCCGGGATTAAAGGTGTGTGCTATCATAACCCAATATAAGTGAAAAAATTTAATATCTGAAATTTACAATGAATTTGTCTTAGAGAGACTTAAAATCATATAAATAGCTACTTCAGGACTTAAGAATAAAGAGTAAGACATATACAGTCTATGTTTGTATATTATTTAACTATACGTATTTCTGGTGATGTTTCTTAGTGTCTTAATAGATTTTGTGAGAACCTTTGTATTTCTGTATAGTGTAAAGATAAATCTCTACCTCCAACTTGAATATTAAAAAAAAAAATTCAGAATTACATTTTCTACTAAATGTTTGTCACATTCTTAAAGATGTAATGTTTGTTTCCTCCAGCTGAGAGTGAGGGAGCATCCTGTTTTTGGACCATATGTTGAAGCTCTGTCAATGTAAGTGTCTAGTACGAGGGGAAGAAAGCAGATGGAGAGAGAGAATGCTTGCATAAGGTGCTCATCCCACTGCATTTCATCCAGCTTTGAAACTGTTATCCAAGTGCTTTTCTCCTCTCCAGATGGGCTCTTAGTCCTTTGTTCTTTGTATTGTTAGTATCTTTCAAAATACCTGCAAAGATTCTGACACCAGATATTGATTAATCTGAGTATAATGTAGATTTCCTTCTTATACTCATCTTTCCCCATCAGCTTAGAGTCTTTGCAACTCATTTTTATTCCTATGACTTTAGGTGCTAAGTGAAGAGTTGTACAAGAGTCATTTCCTGGTTTTCAGCATTCTAGCTCTTTTCCTTTAGGAAAAGAAGAATGACTCAGTATAAATTCAGCTGTGTTCAATAACATGCACATTGTACATGCACATGTGAGTTGAAATATGTATTTTGGTGTTATGTACTGGGATAGTATAATGTTAAGATTCCAAAGTGCTTTTTATAATTTCTGATAAAATTTAAGGCATTATCATATATTCTGACTTTTAAGAAATGTCTTAGGGAGAATTAGTATGATAATGTTTGTGAATTAGTTTGTTATAATTGTTAGAGTAATCACTGAAAGAGTATTAATTTATCAGAATAAAAATAAAATCATTAGTAAAATTGTTTTTGTCTTTTTACTTCTTAAAAAACAGGAATGTTGTCAATTCTTACTCTGATATTCAGGTAAGGTTGGTTATATTTTATTTTACTTTAACTAGATAGAGCACAATGATAAACATTTATGAGACTTTCTCCTAAATTGTTGGCATGTGTAAAAAGAAAATCTTGTGAACCGAATTTGCACATTAAGTTTTAACCAAACTGGTTGATTTTTCTCAACTAAAATACTGAACATCCTGTCACTTTAGAAGATTAGCAAAAGCTTTTGTGTGAATTAATTAAGCATGTGTGTAAGTTGCAAGTGTATATAAAAATCAACTGTGCTTTCTTTCTTGTTACTTAATTTTTTTGAATAAGTCACAGTAGGCTCTCCTGGCCCACTTCTCTCTTACTAGAGTTGGCTGGAATTGGGAAATAAACAAAGAGCAACTGCGGCTACTGGCATGAATGACAAAAGCTCCCGATCTCATTCGGTTTTCACCCTGGTGATGACCCGGACCAAGGTATTTTTTTTTTATTGTAATTTAATTGTATTTTTAAATTAAAATATAATGACACTATTTATCCCTTCCATTTTCTTACTCCAGTCTCTCCCATGTTGTCAACACCTTGCTCCTCAAATATGTGGCCTCTTTTCCTTTCATTGTTGTTATTATACATGCACACACATACATAACACTCAGTTTGCTTGTGTGTATATGCTTGCAGGGCTGGCCACTTGGTGGATAACAATTTATGGATCTTATCCCTGAAGAAGACTAATACCTCCCACTCAGCATTTCTAAGCTGCCTGTAGTTCTTTAATTAATCTGAGTATGAATGTAGATTTCCTTCTTATACTCATCTTTCCCCATCAGCTTAAGAGTCTTTGCAACTCATTTTTATTCCTATGACTTTAGGTGCTAAGTGAAGAGTTGTACAAGAGTCATTTCCTGGTTTTCAGCATTCTAGTTCTTTTCCTTTAGGAAAAGAAGAATGACTCAGTATAAATTCAGCTGTGTTCAATAACATGCACATTGTACATGCACATGTGAGTTGAAATATGTATTTTGGTGTTATGTACTGGGATAGTATAATGTTAAGATTCCAAAGTGCTTTTTATAATTTCTGATAAAATTTAAGGCATTATGAGTCCCATGAGGTTTTTCCTCTGCACATTAGCATGTCTCTTGGTATAGTGCCTACTCAGGTCTTGTTTAGGCATCTATATTATTGAGATAAACGGCTGATGCTGACATTCTTAGGACACGAAGTGCCACGGCAGGTCCTCTGGTCCTCTGACTCTTACAGTCTTTCTGCCTTTTCCTGCAAGACACTCCGCCCCGTGTGTTGTGCATGTCCCTGATGGGGCCCAGCGCTCCGTGATCAGTTGTTCTCTGCATTTTGACCAGTTGTAGTTTTCTGTGAGGGTCTCTCATCGTAGAGAAGCCTCTTTGATGAAGAGTGAGAGCTATATTTATCTGTGCATACAGGATATGAATGTAGAATGCAATCAGGAATTATGCTAGTTTAGTAAAGTGCAAGTTCTCCTCTAACGTCCATTACCTCATCAGCCCTGGGTCAGTTTGCAGGTATGATTTCTCTCCTGTTGAGCAGGATATACTAGAGAGCTGCTGGTTACCACCAAAATATGAGTGCCACTACTGTACCTTTAGATATCATGCGTGCTGGCCGTTGTTGTGGTTCATAGGTGTCCTAGCTGGGGAGGGCTATATGTTGTTTCCCTCCCTGGCAGCTTGCTTGGCACCTTTCAAAGCTATGAAAGTTAGTCCTCGGGGAGGGGTCTTTCACGTCAGTTCTGGCTAAGATCCTGAGTGCTGTGTCCAAAGCGCATAGGCAGATCAGAGTATTTTTGGTGGTGGTGGTGGTGACTTTCTGTACATAAGATAGTGAATGAATTTGTTTTGTGTTTTTATTATTTACTTCTATAAATCTAAAAATCTAAGGATAGACTTAATCACTGTAAATACAAATACATTTTAGGAAATTTCCCTATATTGTTATATATAGCAATATGGTATTTATCATTTTTAATCAAAAACACATGACCAATACTTTACGATACCAAAAATAGATGACTAACAATTTATTATATCATTGATAGAAAAGTAGCAGTATTTGACAATGTATAGTAATTTTAGGGTACTTGGAAAAACGTTAGAAGAGAAAAGGTTTTAAGGACAGGGAGAGAAGTCAGTGAGCAAACTGCTTCCAGCACGAGCAGAGGATTTGAGTTAAAGTGCTGGGCACAGTTGCACAGACTGCAGTCCCCACCCCAGAGAGTCCCAGGCTGCAGAGCCCTAGCTTGTCGCCCCGCTAGCCTGGGCTACATGGTAGGCTTCAGGGCAAGAAGGGACAGATGGCTTCTAAAGAGAAACACCTGAGTTAATCTTCAGCTCCATGCACACATACACATACATGCACAAACAAAAAAAGAGTAATAGATTTTTTTAAAAACCATGCATAGGTTATACGCCTCAAGCCTCTGTAAACATTTTGGTATATAATTTTTCAATTGGTTATAATTATAATCAGAGTTCACAAAATTTTTAACAATCATATGCCATAGAAATTCCTTATAGAGGTAATTTTTAAAGCTTTACTCTACTAGCTATTACAATTACTTAATTTTCTCTGCTGTTAGACATTTATATTGATTTAAATGTTTTGCTATTATACTGCTGAGGTAAGCAACATTTTTCCATTCATAGTTGTTTGCTTAAGATCACTAAGTAGTTAATACTTTTGCTCTCTTTAAAGTGAGTTCTTTTATATATCTGTCACAGTCTAAGCACTGCTCAATGGTAGATTTCATGGATACATATGCATTACTACATAGTAAGAGATGGTTTTAAAAATAAATAATTTGGGGTCCTGGAGAGATGGCTGAGAGGATAAGAACACTGGCTGCTCTTTCACAGGTCCTGAGTTCAATTCCCAGCAACCACATGGCAGCTCACAACCATCTATGAGATATAATGTTATCTTCTGGCATGGAGGCCTACATGCAGACAGACCACTGAATACATAACAGAGAAATAAGTCTTTTAAAAAAATTGTAATTGAATAACATCACCATTTAAAGGCTTATGTTATAGCAAGTCATTAAAAAAACCATAAATTATTTTTCTGTGATGTTGCTGTAGACAGAATTTGTGGAAGGGGAAGAGCATGACCACAGAATCATAAGCCGTATAAACTTAATAGATTTGGCTGGCAGTGAGCGCTGCTCTTCAGCCCACACGAGTGGAGAGCGACTGAAGGTAAGTAGGGTAATGGTCACTTCCCTCTTCCTCTCCGTGCTGTGAGTTGGGGTCTTGTCGTGTTGCTGCTGTGAGTTGGGGTCTTGCCGTATTGCTGAGTCGCCCATGAACTCCTCAGCTTGAGTCATCCCCCCCCCCCCCACCGCCTCAGGCTTCATGACTAGCTGGGATCACAGCTGCACCCTAGCATTTCCCTCACTGTCCTCAGGATGATAAAACTTGAGGGCATTATTTGTAGGAAAGTACAAATTGAAGATACTGAACAACAACAAAGCAATATCTTTAGCCAAGCATGGTGGCACACACCTTTAATCCTGGCACTCAGGTTGGCAGAGGCAGGCAGATCTCTGTGAGTTCGAGGCCAGCCTGGTCTACAAAGCTACTCCAGGACAGCCAAAGCTACACAGAGAAACCCTGTCTCGAAAAACAAGCAAGCAAACAAAAAAACCTTTATCTTTAGTTTACAGATTGCTGTGGTTTACATACTGTATTGGGAATAGTTTTCAAAGAAAATTAATACATTTGAGTCATAAAAATGTTGATAGTTGGGGGCTGGAGAGATGGGTCAGTGGTTAACAGCACTGTCTGTGCTTCCAAAAGGACCTGGGTTCAATTTCCAGCACCCACATGGCAGCTCACAAGTGTCTGCAACTCCAGTTCCAAAGAATCTGACACCTTCGTACTGATGCGTATAAAATTAAACAAGTTTTAAAAAATGTTGATAGTTTATGGAAGAAAGTATTATGCATTAGTTGTATGAGGAGAGAGGTATATTTTGTGAAATGAAGTTGTTGCTGAGAAGTTAAGAAAAATAATCCTTTTTTAATCTCATGCACAGGAAGGTGTGAGCATTAACAAGTCCTTGCTAACTTTGGGGAAGGTCATATCTGCACTCTCTGAGCAAGCAAACGGAAAGAGGGTTTTCATTCCATATCGGGATTCCGTTCTTACATGGCAAGTAGCTTTCAAAGTCTAAGTGGTTGCATTTGGTTTGGGTTTGGGTGTATGTCTATGGTGTATGCATATTTGTACACATATGTGTGTAGCTGTGCTTCCCTGAAAGTATGCTTGTGGAGGCCAGAGGTCGAATTCAGGAGTCTTCTTCCCTCCTCTCTCCACCTGATTGTTTGAGACAAGCTCTCTCACTTACTCTGGAGCTCAGTGTTCTGGTTTGAATGACTGGCTAGCACTAGAGGTGTAGGTACGTGTCTTAGTTACTTTTCTATTGCTGTGACAAAACACTATGACCAAAGCAATTTATAAAAAAAGCATTCAGTTGGGTGCTTGCTTACAGTTTCAGAGAGAGAATCCATGACCATCATGGTGGGAAGAAAAGCAGCAAGCAGGCAGGCATGGAGCTGGAGCAGTAGCTGAATGCTTCTGATCCACAGCTGTGAGGCAGAAGGAGAGGGAGAAGGACAGAGGAGAGGGGAAGGAGAGAGAGGGAGAACTAACTGAAGTGGCATGGGCTGTTGAAACTTCAGAGCCCACCCCAGTGACAAGGCCACAACTAATTACCAAACAGTTCCATCAACTAGGGGCCAAGCATGCAAACATAAGAGCCTGTGGTGGCCATTCTTACTCCAACCACCAAAGCGCTCTGCCCAACTTTTATTTTTACATGGGTTCTGGGGACCTGAGCTTACGCAGCAAGTACTTTACCCACTAAGCCATCTCTTCAGCCCAGGAAGAATAAGATATGGTGCCGGCTGGGCTGCTAGAGTGCTTACCTAGTCTGCACAAAGTCTTAGGTTTGGACTCCAGCACAGCTAGGCATACACACACACACAGAGAGAGAGAGGAAAGGATAATGGACTCACTTTATATGATTTTGGCATATTGGAGAATTATGAATTCTATAAACAATTTACCTGGAGTTGAATTTCATAAACCCTGAGTTGCTAAACTCACTTAATAGTGTAGCCTGTTTTCGCATGTATAAAACAGAGATGACATCAAAACAGTGAGGTTAAATGATGCAAAATTCTGAAGAGATAGTACGAATGGAAGCACTCTGCTTGTGCTTGTTGGTGCCTACCGTGTGTTAACAATTGTTTCTCTGCGTGTAAAGTGACATTGAGTAATTTTGCTTGCCTGCCACTCAGCGGCTAGTACATAGCTCTTCCTTGTTTTTATAATGAATGTACACTTTACTTCTGATACATCATTACCCCGTATGTATTTAATGTTCAACTTCTAATAAACATAGATAGCTATCCCACAGCTTAAAATGGTTTTGCTTGAAATTTTTCTACTTTATGATGGTATGAAAGATAATAAGCATTCAGGAAAAACAATTACTCCTTGTTTTCAGGGAACTCTTTGGGGTTATTTTTGTTGTGATTTTTAATTTTGCAGTGTGCATGCAGAGGCCTTACACAGGTTAACTCACATTTTCATTATCCCGTCATCTGTTGATGGCCAGCGAGGCTCTTTCCAGTTTCTGGCTATTATGACTAGAGCAGCAGTGAAAATGGATGTGCAAACAATGAAAATGGATGCTTGCTCATCAATTTTTTTGATTAATTTATTTATTATTTATACAGTAGTTTGCCTGCATGTTTGCCTGCAGGGCAGAAGAGGGCACCAGATCTCATTATAGATGGTTGTGAGCCACCATATGGTTGACTAGGAATAGAACTCAGGACATTTGGAAGAACAGCCAGTGCTCTTAACCTCTAAGCCATCTCTCCAGCCCCTTGCTCATCCATTTTTAAGTAGTAGGATATAGAGTTCTTTGAGCTTATGTCCAAGAATGAATCAGCTGGGTCTTCAGGTAGATCTATTTCCAGCTTTGAGGATCCACCACCCTGATTTTCAGAGTGGCTGTACAAGTTTGACTCCCACCAGCAGTGAATGAATGTTCCTCTATCCTCTGCATCCTCACCAGCATGTGCTTTCATTATTTTTATTGATCCTGGCCATTCTGACTGTGGTAATGTGAAATCTCAAAGTAATTTTCACAGCATCCTGATGGCTAAGGATGTGGAACATTTCTCAGCCATTTGGCTTTATCTTTTGATAACTCTTAAGTTCTGTACTGCAGTTTTCAATTGGCTTATTTGTTTTCTTGGTTTTCAGTTTTTTTTAGTTCTTTATGTTTTGGATGTTAGCCCTCTATCAGATGTGTAGTTGGTAAAAATCTTTCTCCATTCTGTAGGCTGCCACTTTGTCTGAATGATGGTATCCTTTGCCATACAGAACCTTTTCAGCTTCATGAAGTCCCCTTTATACATTGCTGTTCTTAATGCCTGTGCTATCAGTGTCCTGTTCAGAAAGGCCTTTTCTGTGCTGATGCATTTGACCCTATTCCATGCATGCTATCTTCTGTCACAGTCAGGGTATCAGGTTTGATTTTTGGTTTTTGTATTTGTTTTTTGTTTGTTTGGGTTTGTGTTTTTTTTTTTTTTGACACTGGGTTTCTGTGTGTAATAGCCCTGGCTGTTCTGAACTCACTTTGTAGACCAGTCTGGCTTAGAACTGTGCCTGCCTCTGCCTCCCAGGTACTGGAGTTTGTATTGAGGTCTTGGATACATTTGTAGTTGAGTTTTGTGCACAGTGATGAATATGAATCTATTTGCATTCATGCAGAAATCTGGTTTGACCAGCACCATTTGTTGAAAAAGCTATCTTTTCTCCAAAGAATACAAGAATCTTTTTGTATTCTTTGTCAAAGATCAGGTCTGTAGGTATATAGAATTATGTCTGGCTCTTTAATTCAACTCTGTAATACAACTTGAAATCTGGGATGGCTATACCTCTAAAAGTTCTTTTATTATTCAGGATTTGTTTTAGCCTCTCTCTCTCTCTCTGTATGTGTATGTATGCATGTGTGTGTGTTTTCATATGAGGTGGAAAACTGTTTTCTTAATTTCTGTGAAGAAGTGTATTGGAATTTGGATGGGGATGGTATTGACTCTGTAGGTTGCTATTGATAGAAAGGCCATTTTCACAGTATTAATCCTACCAATCGATAAGCTTAATTATAATGTTTCTATCTTGAAACTTAAAAGGGAGAATATGATTTTTTATGCCTTGAAAAGCTAGGAATAGTAAAATTTATTGTGTGCTAATAAAGATGTATTTGAGTTTTACATTCTTTTTTGCACAGTCTACAAAGTGAGTACAGTACAGAGTGTTTATATATTAATTCAAATTTTTCAATATGTATTGGGAACTAACTCCTGCAGGTTATGGTAGCACTGAGAATACAAAGATGACTGAGACATATAGCTTCCTTACTATAGTAGCACATGGTCTAAAGGGAAAGCATTTAATAAATATTTGATGTTGATAATGTTTAATAACCTGTAAACAGGTTTGTTGCTTCATAAAGCAGTATAGAAAAAAATAAGAGAAGCTGGGAACATGGGCCAAGCATAGTAGTAATCTATGCCTTTAATCCCAATACTTGGGAGGCAAAGGCAGGCAGATCTCTATGAGTTTAAGGTCATCCTGGTCTATATAGCAAGTTTCAGGCCAGCCAAGCCTACATAGTGAAACCCTGTCACCAAAAAAAAAAAAAAAAAAAAGATAGAAAGAGAGAGGGGGGAGGGAGGAAGAAAAGGAGAGAAAGAAAAAGTGTAAAAGAAAACAAAGTATTGTGATATTTTAATGGTGTCTGAGTGGAGAGTTAACCTGTTTTTGCATGCTCTTCTCGTTGCTTTGTGTTTTCTCAACAATTAGGGGTACTAGGTGGTTGTAGAAGAAAAGTCTTGTTGTGATTGCTTTCCCTTTTCCTTAAAGGCTATTAAAAGAAAGCCTGGGTGGGAATTCCAAAACAGCAATGATTGCTACCATCAGTCCTGCTGCCAGCAACATAGAGGAAACCCTGAGCACACTCAGATACGCCACCCAAGCCCGACTGATAGTCAATGTCGCCAAAGTCAATGAAGACATGAATGCAAAGTTAATTAGAGGTGACACTGTCTCAAATTTTATTACTCATTTTTGCATGTATATATGTGTGCACACTGTATATGTGTTCAAGTGTGTGTGTGTACGTGTGTTTGTGTGCTGTACTGTGAAAGCCCAAGGCTAAGTCTCCCTACATTGCTCTCCATGGCAGTTTCGCTCAGGTGACCCTAAGCTCCCCAAAATGTCTAAGCCAGCTTGCTTTGGGGAGTCCCCTTGCAGGTAGTGGAATTGCAGGCAGGCTGCTATGCCCACCAGCATTTACATGTATGCTACTCCCAGTCTCAAGAGTGCACAAGCATTTTACCAAGCCCCTTGTTTTCTCGATTACAAAAATATTCTACAGTTTAGATTTATTGATTTATTAATTCTAATTTAACATATACAATTTTAAGAAAACTATTTTCCATTCCTAAATGCTGATATATCCTAGTATAACCCTGACAATGGTGGAAGAGGGAGGGTATACAATGAGAAAGAGGAAGTAGAGAGAGAAACCAGAAGAGCTTAGGAAAGAGTGTGGGGAAAGGCAAGCAGCAAATGGGAAAATCATTTTCCAGATATATTTGTTTATCACTTGTTCATCTTCTTACAAATCTTCAGAACTGAAAGCAGAAATTGAAAAGTTAAAAGCTGCTCAGAGAAACAACAGGAATATTGACCCTGAACGATACAGACTCTATCGACAAGAGATAATGTCTTTAAGGATGAAGCTGCATCAGCAGGAGAGAGACATGGCAGAAATGCAAAGGTAAATACAACAGATCCGTAAACATTGCTGCTGATAGGACTAGGAGGGTTGTGAGAAAGCACTGAGTCCTTCTCACCACCTCCTTATAACAGACCAGCTTGCTTTCAGTTGTATTTTAAGTGGTAGTCGGTATTCTGCAGACTTCACTGATGGTCTCTTAATTTCGATGGTCTCTTAATTTCGATCTTACATGGATGTTTTAACTTCAGTATTTTCTCTTTTGGAAAGAGTATGGACAGAAAAGTTTGAACAAGCTGAAAAAAGAAAACTTCAAGAGACAAAGGAGTTACAGGTATTATTTTGATTTCCTAAACTGATTTTGTTGTGCCCAATTCATGAGACCCCAAAAGACCACCACCAGGAGTTGAGTCTTGCAAAACACATGTGGATCTTTTTATTACAAGCTACAGCTTGGGCTCACACAACCTCACTGCTGAAGCGGTGAGAGCAGAGAGCCTCATGCTCAGGTTAGTTAGGTGATTTAAAGAGTCTGGTCTCTCCCAGCATGCCCAAAGCAGAGGGATTCCTGCCTGGCAAGCATCTATTGGTCAAAACACAAAAGGGGATGTTGCATTTTGAACTGATTGGCTATAGGAAGGCCCCCAAACCATTAATTGTATAGCTTCCCTTGTTTTGGCTGCCCTAGGGGAGAGGGGCCAGTTTCTTAGTAATTGTATCTCTAGTGGGCAGGAAAAAATGCAGTAAGACTAGTTCTTCCCCTCAGAGCGTTGAGGCTAGTTCTTCCCATCTGGTGGCTGGACATGTCTCCATCTAGCTAGCCTTTGTTCAGGCTTGTGCTTTAAACTTTAAAACAATACCCATTGATTTTTAATTCTTTGGTCTCTCATTTTGAAATAGGAAAATTATGCCTGTAAATTTCATGTTTCATCTGTATTGCATAACTCTGAATAAAGAAAATACATAAAGATAACTAACATAAAGAATTGTGAGGGAACCAAGAGCTTTAACACAGACCACAAAGGCATTGCTGGTTTCTCCATTTCTCACCTGTTCCTGTATAGCAATCAGGCCAGTGTCTGCCTCCTCTTCAGCGCCCAGGGCCCCACCTCAGCAGCCTTCCTACAGTAGCTCTCCTATCCAGGTGGCCAGATCAGCGTTGTCTTTAGGGACCTTGACACAGCAGCCAACTTTATTGGTGGTGGGGCCAGCACAGTTGGGGTTCAGGGTCTGGCATTGTAGTGGTGTTTGGTGACTTAAATACTGACTATATCAGAATCCTGTGCCTCAAGAAGTAGCTTTTCTCCTGTCCCATTCTGGGCTTTGCTCTGTTTGAGGCCACAGGGCTCTTCTCATTGATGGTCACCTTCCTTATCCATGGAGCACCTGTGGGATCGCTCAGCCGCCCCTGCTGCTCCCAGTTCTGGCATGTGCTAAGCTTAACCACTAAAACAAAAGAAGCAACATTAGGATGGGGAAAAAGAATATTTGGATCTAGATTGTGATTGCCTAGAGCCTAAGTGCAGGGATTGCAGTCATGTGCCACTACACCCAGTTAAAGTTTCCTTTTCAGTGGGTTCTTCTAGTAACAATGTAAAAGGTGAATTGGAAGAAGAAAAGCCAGTTTATGGAAAGAGTCATTTAGAAGCTGCTGATGTGGTTAAGGCATGAAATAGTGAAAGCTTGGAGTAAGGGCACCTGATGGCAGTGGAGGAGGTGGGTTCAGGAGGCAGATGTGTGGGAAAAGGATAATTGTCTTTATTATTTTCATATTTTTAATTGTCTATATAGATGCATTTTATATATGTATATATCATGAGTCACACATGCCATAGCACTCATTCAGAGGTCAGAGGATGGTTTTGTGGAGTTGATTCTCTCCTTCCACCTTTGCATGGGTTCTGGAGATTGAAAACTTGGTATTGAGGTTTTGTGATAAGCATTTTTCCTGAGCTCTTCCACCAGTCCTGGGATAATTGACTTTAGGGGTTGGTAGTTATAGATGTAGAAGTCAAGAATGGTTCTCAGGCTTTGGAAATATGAGTGTTGTGTTGTAAAATTGTAAGGTCACTGAAATGTGGGGCATGAGGGGACAGAGGACAGTTGATTGAACAGTAACAAGATGATGAAATAGAGCTACTCATAGCACTCCTTGAAAAAGAGAACTATATAAGTCAGGCAGAGGGCTGTAAGGCTGAGGGAGGAGTGTGTGTGTGTTAGAAGAATGAATCAAAATCCCTTAATATAGTAAAATCTAAAGGATATTTGAGAAGAGCTAAGAACAGCAGAGGAATTTGGTTGATAAGAGTATTGTAAAAATTTAGAGGAAGGAGCTGAAGATATGTATCAGCAGGCCTTTACTGAGTGCCTATGCTCAAGTGTGAGGAGATGAGCAGATCCTCAGCACCTATGTAAGAGCAGGGTGTGGCCGTGCATACCTGCTACCCTGGTGCTGGTAGGTCAAGGGAGTTATGTGAGGAGAAAACAAGTGGGTCCCTGGAGTTCAGTGGCCAGCTAGCCTAGCTCAAATGGATGAGCTCCAGGGTCAGTGAGAAAATTTTTCTCAAAAAATAAGGTGGAGAATGAATAAGAAAAACACCCAATGTTGACTTCTGGCTTACATATGCACATCCCCACTTGTATATTCTCTCTCTCTCTCTCTCTCTCTCTCTCTCTCTCTGAAGGAAAAGTTCTTTGGGAATGTCCTGACAAATGAGATAGGATTTACCAGGTGTGGTGGTCCATACCTATAATTCCAGCATTTTGAGGCTGGCCAGGAGAATCTTTGGGTTTGAAGCCAGTATGGACATAGGTACAGGCCAGTGGCTGGGCAAGATTTTGGTAGGTGGGAAAAAAAAACATTGTAAAAGAGAAGACCGTATGAGTAGAGGAGAGCAAGCAGTTTAGATGGGGTCATAAGAAGTCAGCATGGAAAGATACCATTGATTTGCTGAGCTCTTGCTTTCTAGGCTACAGAATTTTAATCTTTAGGGAATGAGACACCCTTGGAAGAACTTGACAGGGAGCTGAGGAGTTATCCGGTATAGGATGGAATATGGAAAAAAGGAGATAGCCAATGGGGTATTCCAGAGGGTACTGCAGGATTCTGGTGTGAGTCAGTTCAAGGTGGTGCTGATGAACTTGGCAGAAAACGATCCACTGTAAGGCAGAATAGAAACACGTAGTGATGGGTTGATGCGACAGTGACCAAGAATGGTGAAGACTGAAGAAAGATCTGTAGAATTCTTGAGTTCAAGAGTGTGATGATAACAGTCATAAGAAGCCACAAAGGAAGGCTTCCAACACACCTTTAATGGGCAGTGTGTGTCATTCTCTCTTCACCAGGGCCTGGGCTTCTCTGGAGATGGCGTGCAGAGAAGAATGGGGTTCCATTTCTCTCAGGGACAGCTGGAGTACTTAGGGTGAGGCCTGAGTGTGCTAAGGCAGGGTGTGGAAGAGGGTTTCCATGAGTGTTACAGTTTAGTTCTTTTAGAATGAGATCATGGGTGGCAGTGGAAACTCTGGCGTTACAGCTCTTGGTTAAGCTGCTGTGCTGAGTATGGCAGAGATGTGGGCAAAAACCATGCCTAGAGTGCTTGCAGCCAAGGCACAGTCTTAGTGAGGCCCAGGCCCAGCCGGAGATAACTGAAGAATCTCAGAGGGCCATGGTGGAAGGCTAACGGTATCACGCAGCATGCATGTACCCCCAGCATATTTATTTAAAATCAGGGATTTATAAACCTTGGGCAATGGGAGGGATTTCGAGGGTGAATGTGTTTGATTCACTGGGGTCAGGGGGTCAGGGGCTACTTGATTTACATGTAGTGGTTCAGTACCTCTTTTCCATGCAGTAGCATTATCACGAGAAGGAAAATGCAGTGCTTAATTATCCTAGGGGTGAGGAGAAAATCTCCAAGTACAGTTGAAGGTCACTCCTGTACTGAGATCCTAGGCAGGGTGAGTCATTTGTAGGAACTGATCTGGCCTGTAATCTTCCCTGAGTGTTAAGTGATGCTCCTTACAGAAGCTGAGGTCCCCCAGATCAGGGGAAGCTTTAGAACCTCGCTGAGAAAAGGAAGTCCACCATCATAAACTGAGCACAGACGTTGTCAGACTGCAACCTATTCCAGCAAAGCCCCATAAGTGTGTGTGCGGGTGAGTGTGCATGCTATGGATTAAAACCAGGAAATGTCACATGGGTGTACTCTTCCAGTAAACTTTACTCTCCAAGCCTGTAATGCACTGAAACTCTATAAAGTGATCCTAATATTTAACGTAGGGCATTCTTTTACATGGATTGAATAATTTCATGGGTTTTTTTTTTCTACAGAAAGCAGGGGTTACGTTTCAAATGGACAACCATTTGCCAAACCTGGTTAATCTCAATGAAGACCCCCAGCTGTCGGAGATGCTGCTCTACATGGTAAAAGAAGGAGTAACTACAGTTGGAAAATACAAGCCAAACTCAAGCCACGACATCCAGTTATCTGGAGTGCTCATAGCAGATGATCACTGGTAGGTTCTCCTGCAAGGCACTGCCCCTTAGCTGTCACCATGCCCAGTTCAGCCCTCTCTTTAAGAGAGGAAAAGTGTTGTGTGTGTAACAACAGATGAGACACTCTCAATGTAAGGTTCAGCATGGTGCTCTCTGTGGTATACTTGATCTGCTAATTAAAGGGTAATTTCTTTTCTTAGAATTGTAATGGTAGACATGAAAGTAAACTATCCATCTTATAAAGAAGACTTTTTGTTTGGATTGACATTTTTTTTAGGTTTTCATTCATTTATTTATTAAAAATATAACATAATGAAATATAAGATAGAACAAAAACTTTCATATTAAAGTTGGACAAGACAAATTTATAAAAGAAAAGGCCGTATGTTTGTTGCTTTAGCCATTGTAAGTTTGTATGAGCTTTGCTCCTATTAAATGGCGTTCTCTTCTTGGTACCCTCCATTCCTTCAGACACCTACATTCCTTCTGCCGCCTCTATTCCCTGAGCTCTGAGAGGAGGGATTTGGTGTAGATATTCCATTTAGGGCTGGGTGCTCCAAGGTCTTTCTCATTCTGTGTGTTTTGCTGTGTATTGCTGTGAGTCTCTGTATTTGTTTCCATCTGCTGCAGGAGGAAGTTTCTCTGAGGGTAACTGAACAAGGCACTGGTCTAAGAGTATAGCAGAATATCACTGGGAGTCCATTTATTGCTACTTTTTTGTTGTTTGTTCTTACGCCAATATTACATGTTGTTTTGTAGATCCTGGGCTATCTAGTCTCAGGTTCTTGGTCATCCAAGCAGTGTCAGGTATGGGTTCCATTTCATGGAGCGGGCCTTAAGTGGATTGACAATTTTCCATGTGAATTTGTTCACATGAATGAAATGAATGATCTTATATATTGTTGGGATAATAGTATTTATTTAACATAAAGTAAAAAAAGGCATTTTTTACTTTATGTTGCATTTTAAGTTTTATTAATTTCAAGAGTCTTATTTTCACTGCTCTGAAGGGTCCCATTATCTGAATTTATTTTGGATCACTGCAGTTTATTTTGTTGGTAGACCTTTGAGTAGTTTTTACTTTTGCTATCACAGTATTCCCCTAGTGTCACCAGTGGACTGGCTGGGTCCTTTTGTGCTGCTGGGAGAGAGATCATAGGCAAAGGGAAAGCTTTTCTAGTGCAGGCCTTTGCTTCAGTTGAGTGCAACAGCAGGCAGCGGGAGGTGCCAGGGTGGCAGCAGGGGCTAAGAGCCTTCCTCCTGATTATAGGTAGCAGGCAGAGAGAAAGGGATCTAGACTGGGCCTTTTGAAACCTCCAAGCCTACTCCCAATGGCACACTGTCCCCAACAAGGCCACACCTCCTCTGAATTCTTCCTAAACTGCAAACCAAACATTCAAATGTATGAGCATGTCAGAGACCATTCTCATTCAAACCACCACAAGGAGCTATAGCAGTAAGCAGTGCTCATTGTGTGGTTTTATCAAACTGTCTTTGGGGTGTCCAAAATGTCTGGTGCTAACATAACATGTAGTCTGGCTGTCTAAGACTGGCAGTCCTTTGCTCAAGGTAGCTGGGGCACCAAAGGGGAGTGCAGAGTGCAACAGCTGCTAATTAAAGTCAAATTGCTAGCAGTACCCTAGCATCGTTGCTTACTTACATCAGGAGTGCTAGGAGATGGACTTAAAGAATTCATCATTAACACCAACCTTGATTCTATCCGTGCTTTGAGAGCTTAACCCCTTCCCAGCTTGCTCTCGGAGCTCTCCCAGGTGTTCTTGTATGTGTGTCCTGATGCAACAGTCATTTCTCCAGGGCAGATCTCTGCGTGGTAAACCAACATACTGACCCAAAGGTTCCTCAGGGAAATTGGTAGAAACTCAGGAGCTCTGAGCTATGGGAACAGTTTGCTGTATAAATAGGATGACATTTTAATTATGCTGCAGTAATTTTAAGTTTAGAAAGCATGTGTAGCGAGACTAGGTTTTGGGAAATACACATATTTAGTTTTACCAAGTATCTTCAAACTGTTTTCTAAAATGATTGTCAGTTTTTATTCCCATTGTCACTGAAAATATCTGTCACTCCACATCATCGACAGCACTTAGTGCTATCAGATTTTTAGTTTGTATAAATTTAGTGAACATAGAGTAGAGACTCATCGATTCATCTCACACTCCCTTGGTTAAGGGTATTGTGTATCTTTTACTTGCTTGCCTATGTCTTCTGCCCATTCTTTTCTTAATGATTTTTAGGAGTTCTTTACATATTCTGGCTTCCAGTGTTTGTGTGAATTTGATGTGCGGCAGGCATCTCTTTGTCTTTCTAGTGTTTGAGTCCTCTTTTCATTGTCTTATGGTGCATTGATTCAAGTTCTTCTTTTAATTCTTCTCTCATATATTCCATCCTGACCGAAGTTTTCTCTCCCTCCCCTCCCCCTAATCGCTCCCCGACATCTCCCCTCTCTCCCAGAGCCACCCGTCCTCCATCTCCCCTCAGAAAAAAGCAGGCCTTCCAGGGACATCAAGAAAACCCAGCATAACAAGCTACAATAAGACCAGGCACATAGCATCACATCAAGGCTGGACAAGGCAACTCAGTAGGAGGAAAAGGGTCCCACAGTAGGCAAAACAGTCCAGGACTCCCACGATTAGTAATACCATAAAAACACTAGGCTATCCAGCCATAACGTATATGCAGATTAGATCAGACCCCTACAGGCTCCCTGATCTCTGCAAGCATCCATGAGTCCCAGTTAGTTGATTCTGTGGGCTATGTTGTTGTTGTTGTTGTTCTTCTTCTTATTATTATTATTATTTCACTTTATATCCTACTTTACATCATAGCCCCCTCCCTTTTCCCCCTCCTTCCTCTAACCTCTCCTATTCCTTAGAAAAGGGGAGCCCACTACCCACCTACCTCAGTTCAAGTTGCATCAGGACTGAGTTCATCCTCTTTCCCCTGTGGCTTGGTGAGTGATCAAAAAGCAGGCAACAGAATTCATGTCAGAAACAGCCCTGCTCCCCTTACTAGGGAACCGACATGTAGACTAAGCTACATCAGGTACATCAGGTACTCTGTAGGGGGCCTAGGTCCAGTCTGCATGGTTCTTGGTTGGTAATGCTTCCGTCTCAGCAAGCTCCTCTGGGCCCTGTTTAGTTGGCTCTGTTAGTCTTCCTGTGAAGCTCCTGTAGATCCAAAGAAGATAAGTAACAAGGAGGACCCAGGGGAGGATGCTTAAATCTCACTGAGAAGAGGAAATAGTATAGACAGGGGAAGTGGTTGAAGAGAGGGAACAAAGTAGAAGAGGGGGCACAGAGATAAATGAAGGTGAAGACCAGTTCTGGGGAGAGCGAGGGTGGGAGGAGAAGGGGCCTATGAAAAAAGAGAAACCTTGGGTGGGGCATCTCTGTGGCAGGCTGGAGACCTACAACAGGGTAGGCTTCTGGGGTAGATACAGGGGTGACTCTACCTGAGACTCCTAGTAACAGGTGTCATGGAGCCTGAATAGGCCACCCTTTAACTAGACAGGAGTCCTACCGGAAGGAGGGGAATACCAACCCACCCACACAAACTTCAATCCAAAATTTACTCTGCCTACAAGATGTGCACGGATAAAGATAGATAAGAGATTGAGGGAATGTCTAACCAATTCCTGGCCCAACCTAACACCCACCCCTTGGGAGAGAGCCAACCCTTAACACTATTAATCATATTCTGCTGTGCTCACAGACAGGAGCGTAGCATAGATGTCTTCTGAGAGGCTCCACCTAGCAGTGGATAGAAACAGATGCCGAGACTCACAGCTAAACATTTGACAAAGCATAGGAAGGCTTGTAGGAAAGTGGGGGAAGGATAGAAGGACCTGGAGGTGAGCTGTGTTCGTAAGGTGTCTCTGACCCTTCTGGTTCCTCCTTTCCTTCCTCCTCCTCCTCTGAAAGACTTCCCGAGCCCTGCCTAATGTTTGGCTGTGGGACTCTGCATCTGCTCTCATCAGTTGCTGCATGAAGTCTCTCTGGTCTCTTTGATGACGATTTTGCTGGGCCTCTGGTCCCAGAACCCTCTGCAGGCAGGACAGTCTGGAGGTCAAAAGTTTTGTGACTGGCTTGGTGTCCCAGTCCTTCCACTTGAGACCTTGCCTGGTTAGAGAAGATGGCTGGATTGGGCTCTGTGTCCCCCATCACTAGGAGATTTTGCTAGTTACTCTAGTAGATTCCACGGAGTTCTACATTGCACTAGGTTTCCACCTGCTCCCAAAATGCCTCCCAGTTCCATTAGTTTCTCCCGGTATTTTCTCTCTCCCTATCTCTCCTGTTCCCAACCCCGTCTGCTGCCAGTTCACTCTTGAATCTGTTTCCCCTTTCAGGGGAGATCCTTGCTTCTCCCCTTAAGCCCTCCTTGTTACTTAGCCTCTTTGGATCTATAGCATGTTTTTTTTTTTTTTTTTTACTTTACAGCTAATATCCACTTATAAGTTAGTACATACCATGTTTGTCTCTCTGGATCTGGGTTACCTCACTCAGGATCTTTTCTAGTTCCATCCATTTGCCTAAACATTTCATGATGTCATTGTTTTTAATAGCTGAGTAATACTCCTTTGTGTAAATATACTGCATTTTCTTTATCCAATTTTCGGCTGAGGGCCATCTAGGTCTCTAGTTTCTGCTATTATGAATAAAGCTGCTATAAACATAGTTGAGCAAGTGCCCTTGTGGCAGGATGGAGTTATATGGTTATATGCCCAGGAGTGGGATAGCTGGGTCTTGAGGTAGATCGATTCCCAATTTTCTGAGAAAGTGCTATGTTGACTTCCAAAATAGCTGTACAAGTTTGCACTCCCCCAGCTCCCAGCAATGAAGGGAACTCCACATCCTCGCCAGTGTGGGTTGCCATTTGTGTTATTGATCCGTGGCCATTCAGACAAGTGTGAGATGGAATCGCAAAGTCTTTTTGATTTGCATTTCCCTGTTGGCTATGGATGTTGAACATTTCATTAAATGCTTCTCAGCCATTTGAGATTCTTCTGTTTATTTTAGTGCCTGACGTTAATTTTTTCCTTTATATGATTGTTAGCTTTGTGCTTTGTTTAAGAAAGAATGTTTCATGTAGACCCAATGACACAGATCAGTTCTGTCTCAGGAGACTGAGGCCGGAAAATTGCAAGTTCAAGGCCAGTCTTGGTTACAGAATGAGGTCGAGGCAACTTGAGCATTTAGTGAGACTCCATCTCAAAAGAAAAAGTAAGGAAAAGGGCTGAGGGTTTAATTCAGTCATAGGGTTCTTGCACAAGACCCTGGGCTCACCCCCACCACAGTGAAGGTTTCTATAGTGACATCATACAGATGTTTTCCTTTACACTTTCGAAGTTTTGGTATAGACTAGAAATCAAAATTAATTTTCATGTGAGTAATCAATTCTCCCTGCGCCTTACACTAAGTAGTTTATTGTTTCTTTTTGTGGTGATTTATAAAAATATGGGAATCTGTGTCTCTGGTTATTTGAGCTTGTTTGGTTGGTTGGTTGTTTGGGTGGTTAGTTGGTTTTTCAAGACAGGGTTTCTCTGTGTAGTCTTGGCTGTTCTGGAATTCATTCAGTAGACCAGGCTGGCCTCGAACTCAGAGATCACACACCTCTACTTCCCAAGTGCTGGGATTAAAGCTGTGCACCACCAGTGCCCAGCTGTCATGAGTCTTTTAACCTGGTAGGGCAGATAGGTTTTCCAGGTCCTTTTGCTAGTCTGTTAATTCTTTTATATATTACCTAAGTACAGCATCATTTGTATCAGTGACAAAGATAGAGAACTAAACCAAGACTAAAGAGTCTAGTTGGGGCATAGGGAGTAGTCTCTTGCTTTTGAACTCTATCCTGTCCATTTAGTGCACTCATCAGCATTTGTCTTACTGACTAGACCATAATGCTCGTGAGAGCTGCTTTTACATCTGTCTTCACTGCTGACACATATCTAGTGCTTAGGTGTTCAGTGGGTGAAGGCTTCCATGCTCATTAATCCCTATGTCAAGCACTGCATGCTCAGTGGGAGGAATCCACTTCGGACTTCTCAGAGAAAAGCTTTCTAGAGGACTGGAATGCAAGTTGAGGTTGGGAGGATGATGCCGATAAGGAAGGGGAGGTCCTTCCCTGAAGGAAGGACTGACTGGGTGGAGGGAAGGTACTGATACAGTTGCTTAAGTGAAACAGGGCTCAAATGGTCAAATAGTGGCCAAGAAGGAGATCGTTACTTGAAACTGGATTTCCTGGGGCTCGGAATGCTGCCTGTGTATGTCTGATAACAGTAAATTGAAGTAGGACAGGGAGGAGAACAGAATGGGTGGGGTTATTTAACTACCTGGTTTAAGCAGTGACCTGGTGGGAGAGACAGTGAGCTGTTTCACCCAGGTATGTCTTTGGGTGCTTTAACTGAGCTGTTACTCTCTAACTATAATCCCGGCGCCTAATCAATGCTAAAGGTCTCGAGTTAGGACTTGGCTTTTGCAGTAGTTTTCTGTTTCTGTCTAGGTGGTCTTCGCAATTTTCTGTTTTCTGAATAAGAGTCTTCCTCGAATGTGTGTATGGCGTCTGTAACTGATGCCTCATGTCTCCCGTCAAGGTCTGTTTAGTTAGATGGCTGAGAATGTGTTTTGTCTCCCTGATTTTTCTTCCCATGTAATGCCTCACTTTTCCATTAGTAAAGCCATTTATAGGACAAGCGATGCAATCATTTACGAAGCCAGAAACTTAGAAAAATAAAAACACATAAAAACGCTCTCTTGGAGGAATCCATTGTCAGTACTCAATTGTTTTTTTCCTTGAACTTTTTTTCCTGTGGTTTTTTTTTTTTTTTTTTTTTTTTCATTTTCAGGAAGTTGTAGTTTCGTTTTCTTTTGTTTTCTAGGAGCTAATCAAAATATGGTAAAACTTCTTCCTGCACTAGTACATATAATTGGTAGAGGTACCAGTGGTTTTTGTTGTTGTTTATATTTGAGGTTTTTTTGTTTTTTGTTTTTGTTTACCAAACTCCAAAGTATATCTTGGGAGAAAAATAAAATAATTTAAATTATTGTTGCTAGGGGCTAGAGAGATGGCTCAGTGATTAAGGCACTGGCTGCTCTTCCAGAGGGCCAGGGTTCAATTTTCAGCACCCACATGACAGCTCACAACTATCTGTAACTCCAGGTACAGAGGAACTGACACCCTCATACAGATATACATGCAGTGAAAACACCAATGCACATAAAATAAAAATAAACAAATCATTTTTAAAAGTTGTTAGCTGGTTATGGTGGCCCATGCCTGTAATCCCAGCACTGAGGGAGGCTGAGGCAGGCAGATCTCTGTGAGTTCAAGGCTAGCCTGGTCTACAAAGTGAATCTAGAACAGCCAAGGATACACAAAGAAACACTGTCTCAAAACAGCAACAACAAAAATATATATCATTACTATAAATTGGTATAAACTTACTATCAAAAAATAATCTAAGCAGATTTATTCCTCTTACCTCTTCTTACTATTTAAAAGGTTCTGCAATTATCACAATGTACTTTTTATCTCAACAGTACTATCAGAAATTTTGGAGGAACAGTGAGCATTATCCCAGCTGGAGAAGCAAAAACATATGTAAATGGGATGCACATTTTGGAACCCACCATATTACATCATGTAAGTTGACAGATGCTACAGTGGAAGAGGCTGTTAGGGTGGGTGAGTTGTCCGCATTCAAGTTACCGCCTCATATCCCCCAAGGCACTAACTTGAATAGAGAACTTTTCCATTTCAAAACCTCTGTTGACTAGCCTTCCTTTGGCCAAAGAGAAGTTATAATGGAATGAACCAGGAACTGGGCTCATCATGGTGTGCCCTGTGAAGACCTGGCCTTAGGAATCAATCCTCACTCTGCCCACCCCCTGTGCTGACTGACACCTTTGTCAAGTTACTTAACTAGATGCTCCAATAGTACCACCTGGTTAGGGTGCTATTAATAGTTATCTCAAGAGAACTGGCCTAAACTATTGCAGGCTTTTCAGGGGTAGTGGAGAACTAACTTAAGAATAATTCATATGTAGTTTTTACACCATTGCTTGCAAACAGTGGTACTCAGTGAGTGTCCACTGTGTGTTTTAATTAATAAAGTCTGTTTGTTTTAGTTTCCTCTTTCCCAACATTGGAATACTATGTAGCTCATGAGTTGTGAAATGAAAATGAGATCCTTATTATATATACCCAGACATATATACATGTATAAATTACTTAACAGTATTTCATATATGGAAAATGCTTAACAAATATGATGGTTGCCATGATTTTAATGTCTATCATTAGTGATACTGTGCCATCTGGAATTGTGGAGTTAAAAGAATAATGTGAAAAATAAAACATTTAAAACCATACCTCACATAGGAAACCATTTTCAATATTTTATTGTTTTCTCCTCAAATTTTAATTTTTTTTTTCATTTTTAGGCAAAGTTTGTAAATTTTATCACTTAGACTCACCTCAAATCATACATTTTCTTTTCTGTGTTTTAGGGTGATCGGGTGATTCTTGGCGGAGATCATTATTTTAGATTTAATCATCCAGCTGAAGTCCAGAAAGGAAAAAGGCCATCGAGTAGAAATACTCTTATAAGTGAAGGTCCAAAAGACTTCGAGTTTGCCAAAAATGAGCTGCTTACGGCACAGAGATCACGGTAAGTGCCATCATTGATATGAAGCTCACATGTGCGCAGACAGTGTGCATCAGAGCTAACTACTTCACCAGCTAACCTTCAGCCCGCAAAGGTACAGCCCACTTCAGAGACCCTGAAGTGCTGCATAAACGAAAGCAAAAGGGACACTTCATCAGTCAGTGATCTTCAGGCACACAGTATATTGAAGGCCAGCCCGGGATGCTGTCTCAAAAAGAAAAGTCTGTTGTTTCTTAAATGGAATCAGGACGTTGTTAGCATAACAAAATACTTTATTTTGGATTACTATGTGAACCATAATTTTATAGCTATTATAATTAGTGTATATTATAAATATGCCATACATATTTATATTAAATAAAAATATAAAATATGTTTTAAATATATAAACTATATATTTACTAAAATGTTTAGCATTTTATGTGTTATATTTTCTTTATACATTGGAAATATATTAGTTTAAATATCAAGCATCTGCAATAATAATTAAGCTGGGAATAATTATATTTTTCATCCTGTTTTATTTTTTTATATGGACTCATTTCAAAACCAGTGAAAAATTTGAAAACACTGTAGAATGCCAGAAATTAAATTTTAAGATTTAAATGTTATTTTAATATAAAACATTTTAGTATAACTAAAGGCTGCTCAGGTATATAAAATAGTCAATGTTCTAAAAATACCTTGCTACTCTGTAGACTTGAAGCAGAAATAAAAGACGCCCAGTTGAAGGCAAAGGAAGAAATGATGCAAGGAATTCAAATTGCCAAAGAAATGGCTCAACAAGAGCTTTCTTCCCAGAAAGCTGCATATGAAAACAGAATCCGAGCCCTGGAAGCAGAGCTGGTGAGAGTGGTGTGTGTGGCCTCTCCTCAGAGTTCCCAGAGTTGTGTGGGACTGAGTGCCTCTGGGAGGGAGCTCAGTTGGTAGAGTGAGCTAGCGTCCATGCATCCCTGGGTGTGATCCACAAACTAGGTAGCAAGCCCCAGCAACTGAGTGGTGGGGCAGGAGGATTGGGAGTTCAAAGACATCTTTAGTTACAAAGTAAGTTCAAGGCTGGCCTGGGATACATGAGATGAGAACTCTTAAAAGGGGGGGAGGTCCTTAAAATGGAGCTAGAGGAGTATCTGATACTAAGGTTAGAGCTATGTTTCCAGGTAACAAGCTCATGGTAGATCTTGGCTGCTAGGAGAAGAAAATAGACTTCTCTCCACCAACACAGGAGTTGTGGCTCCTCATGGTGACTCAGTGGTAAGCTTTCAGCCCCAGAAACCCCTTTTAGGGGACATAGCCCCCAAAGTTGGACTAATGACATTCTGCTTGGCTAGATTACTTACCCTGTGTGAAGTGGAGTGCCCCAGGTCAACTCGCTGTGGTGATTCCTGTTCATCGATTACAAGGGGAAACTACACCCTACCCTAAGGCCACTGTTTTTGAAAAATTGCTCTGCATTTTTGCCTGAGTTAATTCTTATCAATGTTAATAAATTAATAAAGAGGGAAGAGTCTGAAAGAAAGAAAATGGAGGAAATGAATAACCAAAAAGCTAGTCACAAAATTGAAGAGCTGGAGAAAGCAAAGCAGCATCTTGAACAGGAAGTGTACGTGAACAGAAGGCGGCTGGAGATGGAGACCTTGGCTACAAAGCAGGTAACTCAAGTGTTAGCAGATGCTGCTGTCTGAGGGGAGCTGCCTTTGATGAACGAGTCACAAGGTCTCTAGGTGAGAACAGCTCCTGCTAGCTTGTGCCCAGTTCTGCTAATGCATCATCCCACAGACACGTTGGAAGGCATACAGCCCTGTTTTTAGTTCCATTCTAGGTTTTTCTTTTTCTATGTCTACAATTGCCCTGTTGTCAGTTGTGCTAAATAATATACATAAGGAAATGGGCCCAAAATGTGGTAGGAAGAAAGGCAAATCCTTTACATTGGGCCACGTCCTGGTAGAGCAGTCATTTCCTAGAACTCAGGGTAGAGTTTTTGATACCTATTTCTTCAGTCCTGGTGAGGACAATGACAATTTTCTGGGGCCAACATGAAAAGGCCAAGGTTTTAGAACTGAAAGATAAAACTTGAGCGTTAGTGTTAACATGTATGAATGTTTTGCCTGCATGTGTGTGTATCAAGTGTGTGCTTGGTGCCCAAAAAAGGTTCATAAGAGGGTACCAGATCCCCTAAAACTGGAGGTACAGATGGTGGTGAGCCACCGTGTGGGTGCTGGGAATAGAGCCCGGTCCTCAGGAAGAGCAGCCCGTGCTCTTAACTGCCGAGATGCCTCTCTAGCTCCACATGAGTGGTTCTTGGAGTATGTTCTGTGGATGAGAAGCGTCTACTAGAAGCCTGGTAGAAATACAAATTCTGGGGCTGGAGAGATGGTCTGACACTTGTGTAGACCAGGCTGGCCTCCAACTTGTGGAAATTTGCTCTGCCTCCCAGGTGCTGGTATAAAGTGTGTGCCGCAGTGCCCATCAGGTCCTTGTCTCTTGATCCTAAGGTTGTGTCGAGCATTGGGAGGAAGAGCAGAGCTGAGGTCAGGGTGGAAGAAAAGGCTCCCCGTGCCTCAAGCACTGATCAGATACTGTGCTGTGAGCACACTGCCAGTTTACTAGGGTGGAGACATAGGGAGCCAAACAGCCATTTAAATCCTGGGAAACACTTCCTAGTTCATGTCTTTTAACTTCAGTCAACAAATGCTCTTAATTGTCCTTTTTGAGCAGTTCCCCACCCCTTCTTACCTCTTTATCTACTAGCAATGGGAAGAAAAATCCTAATACATGCCATTAAAAATCCCTTGTGGGGGGTGGAGAGATGGCTCAGAGGTTAAGAGCACTGGCTGCTCTTCCAGAGGTCCTGAGTTCAATTCCCAGCAACCACATGGTGGCTCACAATCATCTATAATGAGATCTGGTGCTGTGCAGGCAGAACGCTATATGTAATAAATAAATAAAATAAATCTTTAAAAAAAATTTCTTATGATGGGCCAGTGAAGTGGCTCAGCAGGCAAAGAGCTTGCCACTCAAGCCTGGTGACCTGAATTTGATCCCTGGAACCCACATAAAGGTGGGAGGGGAGAACCCACTCCACACAGTTGTCCTCCAGCCTCCACATATGTACTTGGTGTATGGCATCCCCGCAAACGCAAGTTTGAGGCTTAGTCTACAAAGTCCAGAACAGCTAGGGCTACACAGAGAAACCCTATCTCAAAAAACTAAATAAAAAAAAATCCTAATGATTTTATGAAGAAAACCATTAAGAAAGTTTATAAGTCAGTTATTTTGGTTTTCTTTTCCAGACAGTGTTTCTCTGTGTAGCCTTGGGTGTCCTAGACTCACTTTGTAGACGAGGCTAGCCTCAAACTTACAGAGATCTCCCTGCCTCTGCCTCCCTGAGTGCTGGGATTATGGATGTGTGCCACTGTGCCTAACTTAACCATGTATTGTTAGTGAAAGTATGATCAGGTGAAATTTTATTATAGTGTTACAGTGGGGGTGGTACGCATGTGTTCGCGCTCATATACATTTGTGGTATGCCTGCCCATGTGGGCATATTATGTAGAAGCTAGAGGTTGACATCCGATGTCTTCCTTGGTCTCTTCTCTACCTTATCTGTGGAGGCAAGTCGTTCACTGAACCTGGAACCTGCTGTCTTTCACAGGGCTGGCTGGCCAGTGAGCTTCAGCAGTCTGCTGTCTTCTTCCTATGGTGCTAGGGTTACATCTGCTACAACCCACATTCTCAGATTTTCATGGGGATGCGGGAGATGCAAACATAATCCTCATACAGTGCAGCAAGTCCTCTGCCTGCCGAGCTGTCTCCCCAGCCCCTGCTAACCTGTTTCTTTAAACACTTAGTTTATTTGTGTGTATAAGTCATGGTGCACGTGCGGAGGTCAGAGCACAGCTTTTGGGATTGATTCTCTCTTTCCACCATGTGAGTCCCAGGGATTGAACTCAGGTTATCAAGTGTTGGTGGCAAGTGCCATTTTGCTGGCTTGACTAATTTGCTTTTTAAAAATATTTCCCTGTGTATATGTAAAATAAGTAACATGGTGTTATAAGGTATATATAGACAGCAAAATGACTAGTATGGTGAACATAGCCAGCCTCTCTGATTGTATAAATTCTCTCTGCTTGTCCTCATGCATCTTCATTAGGCTTTAGAAGATCATAGAATCCGCCATGCAAGGATCCTAGAAGCTTTAGAAATTGAAAAGCAAAAAATCGCTAAAGAAGTACAGAATCTTCAGGAGAATCGGGGAAACAGGGACAAAACCTTTACAAGTGAGTACGTAGAAGTTCTGTATCTTATAGGTGCTGAAGTTTTAGCTGTCTTTACATATTTAAAGTGCATGGCTGGGGATATGCTATAGTGGCAAAGTGTCTGGATTTAATCCTTTGTGCCAAATAGATAAATACCTAAGTAAGTAAATAAATAAGGCTTTATTCTAGATGCTAGTTTTTGTATGTAAATATATTTGTGTGAATGGTTTAGAAATACTCAGTTTTTAGAAGCTGTATCAATCCTATAGACTGATTGTGTTCCCTGCCCCCATATTAACTTGTTGAAACTGTAGCTTCAGATGAGGCGTTCTATTTCTGTGAAAGATGCCACTGGACTTTTGATAAGGATCACACTGAATCTAGATTGCTTTAGCCGGTGTAGTTCTGTTAACAATGTTTATTCTTCTAATGCACGAACACCGTGTCTTTCTATTTATTTGTGCCCAGTTTCTTTCATCAAAGTCAGGCAGTTTTTCAGTATACAGATCTTCTATTTCCTTGGTGAAATTTGTTCTTGAGTATCACATCGCTTTCAGTACTGATGTGTGTGAGAGTGCTGGTGCCCGGTCTGAGGCTCTTGTGCCAGCACAGGCCAGCGCTTCACTGCTGAGCTCCACCCACAGCTCTGCTGTTATTGTGAATGGCTTGTTCATAGTGTCACTTCAGTGCATAGAAACACAGTCGCTCTTTTTATACCTCACACTTGTTTTGGTGGATTCTTTAGTGGCCCCTCTCATCTCTACATAGACAGTTTTATTCCTTTTCAATTTGGATTCCATTTCTTCCCCTTGTCAGTTTCTCTGGCAAGGACTCAATACTTTGTTGAATAGAAGTGTCAAGAGTGGGCCTCTTTACCTTGCTCCGGGTCTTCTAGGGAAAGCTTTCGTCACCATTGAAGACTGATGGTGAAGATTACTGTGCGATAAAGCATAGCTTTTTTCTCTAAGTATAGCATAGAGAAAATATGTATGATAACACCCTGTATTTAGGGAAGAGCCGTAACTCAGTGGTAGGAATGTGCCTGCCGTGTGAAAAGCTGTGAGGTAAATCCCCAGCACTACGAGGAAAATCTTAACCTTACAGCATGAAAATGGAAAGGTAAACTAAATTGCTCTTCTTTTCCTTTGGTTATTTAGAGTGTGTGTGCATTTGATGAAAAGGTGTTTCTCTGTGGGAAACCCTTCATACCCTTTTTTACTTTTGCATTTGTCTAGAAAATGTAAAAGGTGTGTAGTTCTTTATAAATTAACCTATGGTATATCTTACTTGATGATTTAGAAAAATTAGATATTAAAGAAATGAGGGGGGAGTTAGAATAATTTTGGGCTGGTGAGATCATTCAGCATATAGGAGTGCTGGCTGCCATGTTGGTTGACCTAAATTGGTCAGGCCCCACACCATGAAAAGAGAACTGACTCCCACAACTTGTCCTCTGACCTGTACGTGCATGTCATGGCATTTTCATGCTCCCCCACCCCCAGTAAATAAAACATAAAAATAAAATAAAAATAAAAAGGAAAATGTCTTTCAGCATAATAGAGGAAAGGGCAATAGGGTGTTTCTGTCTTCCAGTATTTCTTTTCTCTGTGTTATACCATTCCTCCACATACAAGACAGCGCGCTTTATGTAAAGACTAGTTTGGCTTTTAAGAATGGAAGAAAAATTACTGAAACATTGCTCTTGCTCTTCTCTTGTGATACAGGGTTAAAATCACTCACTCAATGTAATTTTAAAAATATTTTCAATATTATTTTGCTTTTATAAATAGGGTGTTTTGCCTACATGTTTATCTGTGTGCCACATGTATGCTTGGTACTCACAGAGGCCAGAAGAAGGTGTCAGGTCCCTAGAGAACCAGTTACAGATGGTTGTGAGCTACTGTGTGTGTGCTGGGAGTTAAACCTGGATCCTCTGGAAGGACAGCCACTAGTCTCAACCACTGAGCCCTCTTTCCAGCCCCTAATGTCAGTAGTTTTATGAAATTATTCTAAGTGATATATGCTTGTGATCAAACATGCATTTTGGTTCTAATTTGTATGCTCTGTATTAGTTCAGCCAAATTGGAGCTCCATGAAACTCTCCATGATGATTCAGGAAGCCAATGCCATCAGTGACAAATTTAAAAAATATTATGTTTTTGCCAGGTGAGTAGTTTTTACACTCGTTGACCTGTACGTGTTTGGCTGTTGTTGTTGTTGTTGTGGGGTTTTTTTAGTCTAAGTTTCTCTGAAGTCTATAAAGTAGTCTCTTTCTAGGAAAGAACAGATACCAGAATCCCTGATACAGAGGCTTTAAATTTCCTTATTTAAGAATTACTGGTTTTTCTTTTGCGTTTAAATTCTGTTTATCTGCATTCCATTTTTATTTTATTTTGGGGGACTAGAGATTGAATCCATGGCCTCATGTCTGCTATGCATGTTCTGTGTAACTAAACCACACTACCCAATCTTGCATTCCAGTTTTTAAAAAAGATTTCCTTATTTATATTGTGTGTGTATAATATATATGCATATATAATGTATTATAATGTCTCTCTGTGCCTGTCTGAGTTTATGTGCACCATGAGTACACAGTGGCCACTGGAGGCCAGAACGGGGTGTCAGGGCCCCTGGAACTGGAGTTACAGGTGGTTGCAAACAAGTCAATATGGGTGCTTGAACCCAAACTTGAGTCCTCTGGAAGAGCAGGATGTGCTCTTTGCCACTAAGCCGTGTCTCTGGTCCCATAAGTATTTTTTTAGGTTACCTATTTCCTTTGGCTTTTTTTTTTTTTTTTTTTTTCCCAGACATGATACATCATCAGACAAAAGTCGTTCTGATACTTCTGTTCGAGTTCGTAACCTGCAGCTTGGGATCTCAACTTTCTGGAGTCTGGAAAAGTTTGAATCTAAACTCGCAGCAATGAAAGAGATTTATGAGGTTTGTGATAATAAAATCTCTGTAAGCTTTTTAAAAAAAACTATTTACTTACTTGTGTTGTGTGTTTTGCGTGCATGAATGTCTATGTGTACAACATGTGTTCCTGGTACCCTCAAAGGCCAGGAAAAGGGTGTTGGATCCCCTGGAATTGGAGTTAGGTACAAAGGAATGTGGGTCACAATATGTGTCCTAGGAACTGAATCCATGTCCCCTGGAAGAGCAGCCTGTTAGGGATGTTTTTATAAAACTGTTTCTCTCTTAACCTGGCTATCACGCAAATTATTGAAACCCTATTATATCATCTTAACAAGCTTCACAGCAAAAGAACTGAGCAGTTTTAGCTCTATTCTTAACCCTCTAAGCTAATTTGGCTTCCTCCCAGTGTGCATCATAGAGATACTTGCACTTTGTAGCTTTACTGTTCCTTTCCTCCGCTCATCTGGTCCCTCCTGGACATCTGCCATAGGCGAATCCCCTACTTCCTCTTCTAACTCCTCCTTCCCTGGCTGGCAGGAAGTCCAGCCCTCTTCTCTCCCCTGCTCAGCAACTGGCTGTAAGCTGCTTTATTGGCATATTAGGGGACAACTGGGAAAAAGTGTTTATACAACATTGAGACAGGAGATTCTCAGAACAAGGATTGCAACCAGATGCTGGGGAGGGGTTACATAGAAATCAGCATTTGAATTACACAGTAACCATATGCCTACAGACAGCCAGTGTTTTTAAATGAGCCATCTCTTCAGCTCCTCTCTAAACTTTTAAAAGCTCAACTGGGTATGGTCATGAGCACGCTTTATGATCACAGCACTTGAGATGCAGAGGCAGAAAGATCAAGAGTTCATGGCCCACCTCAATTGCTATTGAGTTTGAGGTCAAACTGGTTTGTATGAGACCCCGTCAAGCTCTCCACTCCTCCCAAATAAAATAAAATCTAGAAATGACGTATCTTATTAAATAAGAGGAAATCCATCAGTTACTGAGATCCCCAGAATTAACAGCTTTGTGAATCTGCTTTCCTTGTGCCAGTGGAGTTTTACTGGTTTGCTTCAACATAGTTTAAGTGTGACAGCGATTAAGTGCTGAGTCTGTTGTAACTGTGTGCTTTACAAGCTTTTCCTTTAGGCTCCAGGGAAGATAGACATAGAGCAAGTCATATGATTTGAAATTATCCCCTTGTGCCTAACAAATGTATGCTTTTACATATTTTCTCATTGTTGTCTTATGGGTGTTTCCAATTGTGGCTTTCATTGATCACAATGAAAACCATCTTTTATGTTATTTTTAACATCTGCTTTCTTGCCTTATATTTTCCAAAATGGTAACAAAATATTATAGTTTTTGTTTGCTGTACTTTGATCCTATACATTATTGCTTGCTGTAAGTATTGCCACAAAGTAATGTTAGGAATTTGCTTGGCTTGTATTTTAGTAACTAGTGAAGCTGAGGTTTAACTTTGTTTTTTTATGGTAAAGTATCTTTTGACTTCTTTCAGTTTTCCCAAATAGGGCCTCATTCTATCACCCTGGCTGGCCTGAAAATTGCTGTGTATACCAGTCTGGCCTAAAACCCTAAAAACAAGGTCACCTCTTTCTTCTTCTGGGGCTGGGGTTGTACGCATATGCTACCAGGCCATATTTTGTTCTCTATGTATTTAGTGAATAAGTGGTTTGTGGTTTTTGTTCTATTAACTCAAATTGGTTATGTTATCTTTTTCACGGTGGGGTGTACGTGTGTGTGTGTGTGTGTGTCTGTGTCTGTGTCTGTGTGTGTGTGTGTAATTGGATGTATATGAAGGTGTGTGGGTGGATTTTGATGTTGGGTGTCTTCCTTGATCTCTCCACCTTATTTTGGGGGGATAGGGTCTGTAATGAACCTGGAGCTCATCGGTTCAGCTAAGGTGGATGGCTGTTGAGCTCCAGGGATCTGCCTGACTGCTTCTCCAGTGCTGAGATTATGGATACACACCGATGCGCCCAGTGTTGAGTATGCAGATTCAGGTTTTAGTGCTGGGATTAGCACACATTGAACTGACTGAGCCATTTCCCCAGTTCTATGTGGCTTTCTATTGGCTTATTTTGTTGTGAGATAGAATCTCATACAGCATACATTAGGCTTGAACTTGGTATATAGCTAAAATGACCTTAAGCTCCTAACCCTCCTGCCTGTTGGGATTAGAAGGGTTCACCAGCACATCTGAGTAGGACATTTTTAATTCAGAGAGTTTGCTGGGCCATTGTTCAGTCCTCTACATTTTTATTTTAAGGTTTCTATCTTTCAGTCAAATAAACACTGGGCCTGGAGAAATGGCTCAGTGGTTAAGAGCTCATACTATTCTTGCAGAGGACCCAAGTTCTCCTCCACCACCCACCGTGGGCAGCTCACAGCCACCTGTAACTCCAGCTCCAGAGGCATCCAAACACTCCTGCCTCCACGGGTAACTGCGCTACTTTCCCCTGCATGAGCACACATACGCAATTAAAAGTCTTTTTGGTTTTATGAGCCAAGCTCTCTCTAGGTAGCCCTGAAATGCAGAAAGATCTTGCATCTGGGATTAAAGGTATGAGCCACTATGCAGGATTTTTTTTTTTTTTTTTAAGAAAAACTTCTTATGGCACTTTTGAGGTATATGAACTCTAAGTTATTTTTTCTATATTGTTTATTTACCCCTAAAATAGTAGATTAAATTGTATTAATATTTGTGAAATAGCTCACATTTAAATTATGTAGTCACTAGAATTAAATTCTGTGATACTAAGATAATGCTCAACATATTATGAAAATATTGTATGTTAAAGCCTAGAGGATTTTGTCATAGCTTTAATTTGTGAATTACTTATTCAAAAGTAAAGATAATTAACTCAGTCTAGAAGATAAGACAAAGGAAAGCAAGTAAAAGAGAGTAAAAAGTAAAAAGAAAAAAAGGAATAACTAATGAATTTGATCTTTGGAGTCTTGAAGAGACATGTGATTTTAAGAAAGATGGCATTTATTGTAATCTTAGCACTCAGGAACCCAAGGGGTTCAATGTTATCCTTAGCCATATAGAAAGTAAAAGGCTGGATACAAAGTGAATTAGCAGTAATTAATATAAAAAAATAAAAAATAAAATTTAAAAAAGAAAGTAAAAGGCTAACGGAGTATGTGAGACCCTGTCTCAAAAAATAAAACAAAGAATGATATTTAAATTAAGATTAAAAGTTGAGTTTTAAAAAATTATATCATCAATAAAAATTTATGCTATTTTTACATTTATTTACTCTTACTGTATTTATTTGTGTGTGTGTAAGAGAGAGACAGGTGGAGGGTGGATACAAGGATCAGAAGACAACCTAGGAGAGTTGCTCACCTTGTCCTCCCTAAACCACAGGTCCTGGGACTTCACAGCAAGTGCCTGGACCTGCTGAGGCCCCACTGGTCCCTGCTTGCTTTTTTTTTGTTTTGTTTTGTTTTTGTATTTTTAGGTTATGAAATGATGTGTTTCATTACAGCATTTCCACACATGTATTACTCTACTTTGTCCTCATTCATCCCTCTGCCCTTTCTGTCTCTCGGGGCTCCCTGTGGCTGTCTCCCATCCCTCAGAGTCTTCTTTGTTTTTGTGTCACTTGAGTTCCATCACTTTCTCTTCCTCCTCATGATCCCCCATCACACACATATAAACACACGTAATTTTAGATGTAAGTTCCCCATATAAGAGAAAACAACTAAATACTATTGCCTTTCTGAATCTGGTTTATTTTGCTTAACATAATGATTTCCATTGCCATTCATTTTTCTGCGAATGTTATGATTTCAGTGTTCTGACAGATGCATAAAATCCATTATGTAATATACCACAGTTTCTTTATACAGTCATCTTTTGATGGACATCTGGGCTAGTTTCCATGTTCTGGTTATTGTGAGATTGTAAACATTCTAACAATAAGCATGGATATTGAAGTATCTCTAAGGCCTTAGAGCTCTTCTTATGCTATTTATTTGATAGTCTTCTAGAGAGGAAAGACATTTTAGGAAAAGATAAATCATAAAAGCTGGCTTAATGGAAGAACAGCCATGTAATAATTTTAAAAGTTTGTCGCTGAAGTAGATTCTAAAAACAGCAGTTAAAAAAATAGGTAGGAGCCGGATGTGATAGCTCATCTGCACTTAGGAAGCTAAAGGTATCAGATCAGTGGTTCAGGGTGAGCCTGTGCTAAATAGGGAATGGTCTGAACACTTGAGAATGTGGCTCAAAAAAAAAAAAAAAAAAAACCCTAAAAACAAAAAAGAATGAACAGGCTTTGGGGGGATAGAGGGATTTTAAAAAGATCGTAGTTTTAGTTAGCTTTATGAGCACACACTTTCAGAGTGCCAGAGAAAAGATAAGCCGTGCTCTGTGGGAAGTATTGTAGAACCTGTCACAGTTAATCTTATGGTGCTTAGAGTAACTAAAAAACAAACATAAGAACTTCGAGGTGGTGCACACCTTTAGTCCCAGCATTTGGGAGACTGAGGCAAGCGGATCTGAGTTTGAGGTCTACATAGCCAGTTCCAGGCCAGCCAGGGACACATAGAGAGTCCCTATCACAAAAAAAAAAAAAAAAAAACTTCAAAGCAACCACTACCTCCAAAAACCAATGAAAGAGCTAAAAATGTAACTCAGATTACAAACCAATCTTAATATGAGCACAACTAGAACGATCCTAAATGAAACCCACCAAACCAAGCCTGTGCATGTTTCTTTTTGTTATTGTTTTTTAAAAACAAACAATCCAACAACTTCTACTGTGAGCAGGCAGCGTTTATTCCAGGGAAGCAAAGTATATTCTTCTGCGGCGTTTTTAACATACATGTGCTTTGCCTGTGTGTGTATGTGCACCACTTGCATGCCTGCTGCCCTCAGGATTCAGAAGCGGGCGTCATGTCTCCTGGAACTGGAGCTGTAAATGATTGTGAGGTGTCAGGTAGGTGCTGGGATCCAAGCCCAGGTCCTCTGCAAGAGCAGCAAGCGCCCTCAACCACTGAGCCAACCTTCCAGCCCAACAAAGTGTAGAAAGTGTTATACCAGAGCAGTGACAGTATTTCTCTCTATATGATGGGCTTGTGGGTGGTTTTCCTTCCCATTTGTGTTTATACTTATTAATAATTTCTGATGTTACCATAATAAATATGAACGAATGTATTTGAAACAGCATTGAAGGCATTTGATCATTCTTGCCCTGTCATACACACTAAACCCACTATGTAGCTCACTGTTTGACTGACTTCCTGCTTTTAAGCAGTCATCGTTCTTCACTTAGTTTTTACATGTGAATGAATTAAACTTGTAGTGTCTAGGTAGAATTTTAATTGGGATTGCTTAAATATCTAATGTATAGGTTATTATGAGTATATTCAACCAAGAAGTGATTGCTGTGTGTGTGCATGCGTGTGTACGTGTGTGTGTGTGTGTGTTTAGGGGATGGAACACAGGACCCTCACACACATTAAGCAAGCAGTTTATCACTGAACTATTTCTCTAGGTCAGTTATTTTATCTCTTTGTTGAGGTTTTACTATTAACTGTCTCTTCTAAATTCAAGTGGTTTTTTAAAAAAATTGTTGTTTATAACTTATTTTATTTTTATTTATATATTTATATGCTTTTGTGTGATATGTGCACATATGTGTGGCCAGAAGAAGGTATCCAGTCCCCTGGAACTGGAGTTCACAGCACCAAACATGGGTGTTGGGAATAGAACTTAGGTGCTCTCAGAGCCAGAAGCTCCCTTAACCTCTGAGCCATCTCTCTAGCTCCCTAAATTTAAGTTTATTATTATTTTTCTGTTTGTGTGTGTGTCTGTGTAAGCCACAGGACAGCCTTAGTGTGGGTCCTCAGGCACTATCCATTTTCCCTTTTTTTTTTTTTTTTTTGTCCTAGAATTTACTATGCAGACTATGCTGTAATCCCAGCTCTGGTATTACAAGCATGTGCTGTCACACCCTGCATTTTTTACATGGGTTCTGGGACTCAAACTCAGTTTGAGTCACTCCCCAGTCCAGATTGCTATTTTTGAAGAATTTAATGCTTTTTATTGTTTTTATAAGACTTATTTTAATTCCAGTATCAAGCAATTGCAGGGGCTTTACTGTTGTTTAAGTTAGTGTTTTAGGCTAGCGATTCAAAATATTGGTTTTTAGGTTGGCATACAAAATAATGGATTTTAAAATGTCACCTGCATACATGTTTTTATTATAATTTATGATTGGTTTTTAATTTGATCAATCATACGATATTTTAAGACTAATCAGATAAGCTGGTGGTGGTGGCGGTGGCGGCGGTGGCGCACACCTTTCGTCCCAGCACTTGGGAGGCAGAGGCAGATGGATCTCTGAATTCCTTCTGGTCTACAGAGGAAGTTCCAGGGCAGCCAGGGCTACACAGAGAAACCCTGTCTCCAAAAACAAAACAACTTCCTGAACAGAACACCAACAGCACAGGCTCTGAGATCAAAACCAATAAATGGGACCTCATGAAACTGAAAAGCTTCTGTAAAGCAAAAGACACTGTCGTCAGAACAAAACGACAGCCTACAGACTAGGAAAGGATCTTCACCAACCCTATATCTGACAGAGGGCTAATATCCAGAATATATAAAGAACTCAGGAAGTTAAACAGCAACAAACCAAGTAATCCAATTAAAAAATGGGGTACAGAGCTAAACAAAATTCTCTGTAGAGAAATATTGAATGGAGAGAAACACTTAAATGTTCAACATCCTTAGTCATCAGGGAAATGCAAATCAAAACGACCGCAAGGTTTCACCTTACACCCATCAGAATAGCTAAGATGAATAACTCAAGTGACAACACATGCTGGAGAGGACGTGGAGAAAGGGGAACCCTCCTCCATTGCTGGTGGGAATGTAAACTTATACAACCACTTTGGAAATCAATCTGGCGCTTTCTCAGACAATTAGGAATAATGTTTCCTCCAGATCCAGCTATACCATTTCTAGGCATATATCCAAAATATGCTCTAGTATACAACAAGGACATTTGCCCAAGCATGTTCATAGCAGCTTTGTTCGTAATAGCCAGAATCTGAAAACAACCCAGATGTCCCTTAACTGAGGAATGGATACAGAAAGTGTGGTACATTTACACAATGTACTCAGCAATTGAAAACAAGGAAATCATGAAATTTGCAGGCAAATGGTGGGAACTAGAAAAGACATCCTGAGTGAGGTATCCCAGAAGCAGAAAGACACACATGGTATATACTCACTTATAAGTAGATATTAGATATATACTATAGGATAAGCATACTAAAATCTATACACCTAAATAAGCTAAGCAAGAAGGAGGACCCTGGGTAAGATGCTCAATCCTCATTCAGAAAGGCAAACAGGATAGACCTCAGAAGATGGAGAAAACAGGGAACAGGACAAGAGCCTACCACAGAGGGCCTATGAAAGATTCTACCCAGCAGGGTATTGAAGCAGATGCTGAGACTCATAGCCAAACTTTGGGCAGAGTGCAGACAATCTTAGGAAAGAAGGGGGAGATGAAAGACCTGGAGGGGACAGGAACTCCACAAGGAGAGCAACAGAACCAAAAAAATCCGTGCCCAGTGGGTCTTTCCTGAGACTGGTACTCCAACCAAGGACCTGCATGGAGGTAACCTAGACCCCTGCACAGATGTAGCCCCTGGCAGCTCAGTGTCAAGTGAGTTCCATAATAAGGGGAACAGAGACTGTCTCTGACATGAACTCAATGGCTGGCTCTTTGATCACCTCCCCCCTGAGGGGGGAGCAGCCTTACCAGAGGAAAGCAATGCAGCCTGATGAGACCTGATAGGCTAGGGTCAGGTGGAAGGGGAGGTCCTCAGTGGTCTCTGGGAGGGGCATGGAACAGAAGAGGGAGGAAGGCTGAGATTGGGAGGGGATGACGGAGGGGGCTACAGTTGGAATACAAAGTTAATAAATTGTAATTAATAAAAAAATAATTTTTTAAAACATGAAAAACAAAAAAAGACTAATCAGATAACCTGTAATTTGCTAGTTTTATATTTTAAAATAATAAAAATTAAGCTTTTGTACTGAGTTATAAAATATTTTTTATTCATAATTAATGGAAAGACTATTGTATTCTTCTTAGAGTAACAGTGGTAACAGGAGCGAGGATGTCTTTTCTGATCCAGAAGATGAGTGGGAACCTGACATTACAAGCACACCAGTTTTTTCCCTTTCTAGAAGGAGGTAAGGTTGTTTTATTATTGCTTTTCTTGCTCTGTGTGTATATAATAGTATATGTTACAGATTTATATAATATATACATACACATATAAAATTACCTTAAGAGGCCTGCTATCATGATGTGTTTGTAATGGGCACCCAGAAATATACCTGGCATTAACATTAGTGATCAAGTTACAGTGCATGGAATATTACATTGTTTATCAGTTTGCTCTGTGAGCAAAAATGTTCAGTATTTTATTGTGCTGGTTTTAAGAGCAGCCTAGAGTAGCATAAATCTTATTTAAAAAAGAAATAGCTTTTGAGAGCTCAAGAATCCGACATGTTTAAACGAGGCCAGGTTAGTTTTAGCATGGGTGCCACAAAGAGGACCAGTGCGGCACAGGGCACGACAAGTGTTGTCCATCAAATCTGAAATGTCCATAGTGAGTACATGCTTTTCATGGAAAGTGTAGCTCTGCTTCGATATCAACTATGCAGAGCACAGAAGCAAATGGAAAATATGGGAAAGCATTGACCTGGAACATTTAGCCCTTGGTTTGTTTTTCTTTGTTGTTAAAACAAATATTCCTCTGATGGCCACTGTCTGCCATGTCCTAAGGAATCCCAGGTAAATAAGTTCCACCCTGTCTTCATGAACCAGGAGATGGAGAAAGAGGAGGCACTAGATAAAGACAGAACTGGAGAAGAGAACCATTTTATACATATGTGAGAAGCAACAGGAATTGGTTATTGGTTGTGGGGCTCTGGCAATGGAAAGCTCAGGGCTGCTCCTGGTTTTAAGCTGGGGAAAGCAGTATATTTGAGATGGTTGTACCTTTGCTTTTGGCTGTGATGTCTGAGGTTTTCACAGGACGTTAAGTACGTTTAGTCTGGAGTATTGGGTGAGGGAGTTTTCAGGATGTGAACATCAGTAGCATTGCCCCAGCCGCAGGGGCATTCTTCTTGTCCTCATCAAGAATACTTATGGAGCCTGGTGATGTCGCCAAGCATGTCTAGGATCCCGGCGTAGAGAAAATTGAGCCAAAAGGCATGAGTTTGAGGCTACCCTATGCAATATGGTAAGATCCTGTCCGTTTTTTTTTTGGGGGGGGGGTGTTGAGACAGGGTTTCTCTGTGTAGACCAGCCTGGCCCTGAACTCAGAGATCTGCCTGCCTTGGCTTCCCAAGTGCTTGGACTAAAGACATGTGCCACCACCACCAGGCAAGATCCTGTCTTAAGCAAGCAGCAAACAAGCGCTGCATGATGGCAACACTCAGAGGAGGCAGAGGCAGGAGGAGCTCTTTGGGTTCAAGACCTCTGGTCTACATAGCAAGTTCTGTGACAGCTAGGGCTGTATAAACAGTCCCTATATCAAAACAAACAGACAAAGCCACCAACAAATAACATTTATTGAATACTTGCTAACTACTCAGCACAGACCTCTGAAGTAAATGGTTGCTGTGGCCATCCATTTTATTAAAGAGGAAACTGAGCCTTTAAAAAGATACAAAGGGTGGGCTGGGAGCTGGCTCAGCAACTAAGAGCACTGGCTGCGCTTTCAGAGGGTCTGGGTCCAATTCCTAGCACCCATATGGTAGCTCATATGGGTGCTAGGAATTGGGGATACAGTACCCTCACAGACATACATGCAGGCAGGACACCAGTGTACGTATAATAAAAAGTAAATAAATTAACATTTTTTTTTTAAAAAAAAGTTTGGGACTGGGTAACTTGCCCAAAGTCATAGAGCTGGTAATAGAACGAGTTGGCTGACTGTGCAGCATGTATTGTCCCACTGTTCATGAGAAAAAAAATCTTTCTACTTAAATTTCTTTTTACTTTCTCTCTCTTGCTCGGTGTGTCTGTGTGTGTGTGTGTGTGTGTGTGTGTGTGTGTGTGTGTGTGTGTGT